AATTTGTATATCTTACACATGTCTACTATTTGATAATAAAATTGAAAAGTGGCTGTATAGCCTCCATTTTGGTCCCGCACTAACGCCTCCTTATGGAGAATAACCACTATCAATGGTGATCTCTTACCGACTTTAGGGATAGCGTGTCCTCGCCCGTAAACGGTAAGCCTTGGAAAGATCACGGGTCATGCTTTTCAAAAAATGTCCCTTGCAAAAGTAAGATTTTGGCATTATTATTTAATGTGGTATTCAGTATTTTTTTAGTCTTTCAAAAAAACCCTTTTTCAATGAAACATAGTACAGTTTAGCGCAGTGAGGAAATTCTTCTCAGTACGCTCGTTTGATTGTACATCAGTTGGTCCTGCCTTCTGAAGTCCCCGTCTTTGTTGATCTGCTGGGGACTATCGTTACCCAAACGCGCACCCGCGTACTTACCATTGAATCAAACCGCGTTGAGTTATTACAAACAATGCGTTCATCAACTAAGATATGGTTGCTCACCGTTTCTAATTGCACATTTTCGCTGCAAGGAAGAAACCCATTTTACCTCCCTAACCAAAGAATCCTTGTTAGTGATATCGAAGATTCTACTTAAAGCTTTAGAACAGCTGCATAATAGAAAACGAAAGTTTTAAATTGGCCTCGAAGGATGAAAGTCAGGTTCCCTTCATGTAAAATGTCTCAGATTGGAAAAATTAGTGGACGGCCAATTTGATGTCAACTATAGATTGCAATTTGAAGAAAGGCGCCGGTCTCCTCGAAATCCTAACCTCAAAAGCAGCCCTTTCACCCGTGGCCGCTACACCCTGTTTCTGAATTAGTCGTTCACTCCTAGATACCGCAGCAAGAAGAAAATTAAATCCCGAACGTTTCGATAGTTATATGTCATTGTTAGTGTAAGGTCGTTAAAATTAAGCTTAATTATATGTAAATGATAATTAATATGAATATAAGCTTACACCGGACAATATTCATCAACAACATGCAACTAGGGTACTTAGGAAACGAATACTCAATTATTTATAGCCAAAAAGGACACATATCGCATTATTATTAATTAAAATTATTATTTTGGTAAGTATAATTACCGTTATTATCATAAATCTATAAGTATAATGATTTATTTTTGACCACCTGACGCTAAAAGGTTCAAGTTCATGCGGTATTTTGTCAAGCTTAAGTTCTTCAGTCGCTCACAACAACTAGCGAGCTTGTCATCCTCTTTGCCCTGCTAAAATTCCGATAAACCTAACAAGTTATCAAATTAAAAATAAGGATTAGGATACCGTCATTATACGGTCTTTCAAAGGCCAGTTGACTTTGGCATTTGGAACAATTTGAGCTGTTGGATAGTTCTCTCTTTACCTGTTCGAATTAGTCCAAACCCGCGAAACGGTCTTCGAAACAGAAAAACGATAATGCTATTCGATTTGATGACTTTCTGCTCCGCAAGAAACTGAGAAACCCTTATCATTAGCCTTGAAACCGATTTGCCCTAGTTTTGTCCTGTTTAGAAAGTGGACCACTAAAAACAGTGTGATGCTTTATGTCAACCTATCTTATGAGAACTATACCGTTGATTGGACATCAGTATACAGATGGTGAATCTTGTTTTAGGTAGGAAATCTTGGTGACAAGCATATCAAGGTTAGTCAAATCATGCCAGGACAACTGCACTATAGGTTGGCTAGCGTTGTAATTATGTTGTAAAATCCGATGCAGAGTTAGTGATTCCGCGTTGGAATTACGCAGCTTGGCAAAACTTGCACGAGCCATAGTCATTGACATGATTGAAAAAAAAAATAGTATGTAGGTATCATAGTGCAAAATGGGACAGGATTGAATATCGTATAGAGACGGCTATCCTGGAGAGGTCATATCATGCATTTTTGATACATTGGTACATTTTGTTATATGCAACTGTTGTACTACAAAATAAGGGATAAGCTAAATCGATGGACTTTTGATTTTTCGTTAATATGACACACATTAAAGCACCCGACTCGCATCAAAATGTAGAAATCTACACGAGGTCAGAATAGAAGCGACTATCTTAAAATATGTACGTATACTGTTATAATTGTTGAGAGTAAACGTACTTTATCTATGATTGGACATTTTGCTGATTTGCAAGTGCTTAAAGTAACGAAACTATCTCCATATTATTTTCCGCAAAGACAGCTAGGAGGCATCAGGGGATTGAGAAACAAAATATGCACTTTTGGACGATATGCTTTCATGCCAAAAGATCTTTAATGAATAGCCGGACAAAGCGAACATGTTTGATGGCATCAAAGCTTTTCTAACCCAAATGCATCTCTCTGTTCATAGTAGGCTTTACTTTCTGGCTCATTTCTCGGCAGAGCTTCTAAATGTACTAGGAAGATACCCCATTCAATCTGCTATAACTTAGCTTCATCCATTGCGAGACACGAGGCCTATATATGGCAGAATGAATTTAACGGAAGCCAAGTATCCTGCTGGTGTCCTTACCTTATTTCCGCCAGCTTAGTTCTACTAAGCGTGCTAGTCCTTTTGATCTTACTGGATACGGTCGTTCCAGTGATGAACAGCAGGGATATCGTGTAAATAGGGATGCTGTTACGTGTTATATATACCATATGTGGACCATATAAGATAAGGCAGTGGCGTCAAAATGCCATCTCGATCTGGTGTAAACAGCATAAATATGGAACGCATTGCTAAATCTCATTTTAGCCACTTCCTTCCGATTAACGACGCGAACCCGACTGCTCTTATATTATTAATACCAGAATTCCTGATATAAGGGACCGACGACGTCGCCATCGTTGTTCTGTTGACAAATCGTTTTCCGTAAGCAGCCCGTACCCCTAAAGAAAGGTCAATATATATCCGATTGTTGTACGGTATACTGGGGATTATCAGCTTTGCATATAGGTCGTATCGCAACATTCATAAGGTCGAAAAGATTAGTTTAAACGGGCCTAGTCGGTTAGCTTGCGCAGGCTGGCTGGCTGGCAGGCAGGCGGCTCGATGGCGTTTCTACTCACGTAGTCGAAGGGAAGAAGCTCAGATGAAGCAGGGAAGTGCTTATCGGGGGTCCGCGACGCGGAAGAGACTGAATCAACAATGATGTATAGCTGTTACCACCATCGGAGTAAGTTCCTTTGTTTCTTACTTATGCTGGGCAGCCAGTCTACGTCAAGCTGACAGGAAGGGGCGAACATACATCACACTCATGAATTTGTTAAAGTAATTGGTGCTTCTAGACATTGTTTACATAACGCTGAAAAACACGAGTTGGCTATAGAGGTTAACATTTGAAAGCTAACGTTTATTTCTTACCCAGTCGCCGGCAAAAGACGATTGTTTTATCCATATTGCCTTCCCGTTGTGGTTGTCGGTAGCATTTAGGCACTAACGGAGATCAAGCGAAATAGCTTGGCTTTTCAATTGTCTATTCTGTGGCACAGACAATCGGGCTACAGCAAACAGGTTTAATGCTTTACTATTCTGGGTTGCGAAACTTGTCAAGAAATTAATCTACTATCTCGTGTTAGCCGTTCTTGAAATGGGAACCAGTTAGACATTAATTTCGTTCCAGATTGCGTAAAAATAGAGGAAATTTACCAGAAGTTCCAACTAGCCATAAATTCAGAGGGACGACAAAGATTCATCGTTGTGCTTTAAAGGAGCTCGCGCAGAAATGCCATTCCTTCAAAGTGAAAAAAGACATAACAGGGGCTATAAGAAGCGGCCATATTACGCTGCAGAACGACGAAGGTTAACTACCTATGAATAATGGATACCAGTCAAGAAAATGTAGTGACCATTGTAGAAATTTAGGTTAAATACGTTTTATATTTCACAGAAATACGTTAGGATGTCTTAACTGCACCATTACTATCGGAATCGTCGTTCGTTTAATTCTTGCGGGAAAGCATTTTCTGCAAAATGCTCCGCTGTTATTGTATCATTAACTATTCATGCGTGACAGTAGTTACTTCCGTCCAACTTTAAAGGATGGTCATTCTCGAAAGTGACACGTATCTCCGGAATAAGGACTGCACAAAAAACAAGCCTTCTTGGCTTACTTTCGTCAAGAACTTTTTTTAATGTTTAATTTGATGTATGTGATATAAAGTTTCGTCGATCTCCCTGTTTGCCTGTAGACTTTGATTTGATTTTGACAATTTCAGAGAAGGTCCATTTCAAACATAAAATTGCTTTGCAGTTCTGACCAAAAACGAAAGGGATCTCAGGGGTAAGATATATAGGGTTTATGTACACTTTCAAAACATTCGCAGTCTCCGGAATGACTAGGTAACGCCTGAGTATAAGTTCCTATGAAGGAATTCGATAAGAACGTTGCAAAGAAAAACATAAGATAAACAAACGAAGAATCTGACAACTAAGGTAATTTAGTGACACACAGACTTATACATGTCCTAAAATTTTTTTATAAAATATTGAGTTTTTGTAGCTAGGTGACCTTAGTGTCTTAGGTAACCTGAGTCACATCGAGCTGTCGAAAAGTTGAGACCTAATAGACGCGATTCAAGGTAGAACGCCTTGCAGATAAAAGAGATTTCTGTAAAATCCGATATAATTTCCAATTTTACTGCTACCGGGCAAAAATGAAGAAAACCTAAATGGGGAATTTGTACAGCCCGGATCTTGCACCATCATATTATGATGTTTGTTTCGGCCTCTGCAGAACCTTGTTTATGCTATTAATTTAGTTTCAATGGAGAGATGCTAAAACCACCTGTGGAAATTTTTTACTTAGAAATGGAATAATGATATTACGAAAAAAAAATAGCAGCACGTTATCGATCAAGCGGTGCATTTTTCGCTTCGTAATATTGTTTTGAAATATTAAAAAAAACTCCAATTTCGGCAAAAAACGGTTACTACTTTTCGGCAATTTGATATTAAAATGGGCATAAACATTTTACAGAATAAGTTTTTACATATTATCGTAGCCACTTTGACAGTGGGTGGCTATTGATAGTCTATATGGCATGGATTAAGGCCATTTCTCTGCAAAATAGATCGTGTCTAATGCAAATCGACCTAATTTAGCGTCGTGAGCCGTTCAAACCAGTTCAAGACATAATGATTGAAAAAAAAAAAGTCTTAATATTTGATCGTATAAAACCTTGAACAAACGCATCCCAGTACTTGATGTAGAGCAAAGAGGATAAGGTGAGTTGGGCTTTTCACTTAACGCACTGTTTTCAATAAAAAATATTATTGGGTTCCCACTGTAATAGTTATCTAGCGAGCAAAAAGCTTTGGGAGCTATCAAAAGCAGATTTACTACGAGAACGCAGTCTAGGCTTTAAGCCAAGCCTCGAGACGTTTTGTTCTGTGCTAAGAGCCAGTGGTCTGAAGCAATCTTTCCGCAACGGTCGTGTCGGATCGAAAACTCGAAATTCTTAGTCTCGGCTCAATGTACCCCAATAAAAAAAAGGAAAATACAACAGCTGTAGTATACTGGGTGACGAGCTGCACTCGAGCCTTATCAGTGGGTGAACCATAGCGATACTGAAACTAACATATAAAGGATTGAAAAGATGTTTGACAAATGTTTTCCCGCTAATTTCGATATTGCAACTTACAACTATGGCAATAAGTATAACGAAACTTTTTACAATTGCAATTGAGTTCTTCTCTCTTCGAGTATAAATTATTATAGATTAGACACCGCTGCTAACAAGAAAACACTTTTCGAAGAAGATCGTCCAATTAATTTGCGAACTCATTCATGATTCGGCCATATTTGATTGGATTTTCCTTCAGAAAACCGTTTCCTAAAACACAATTTTATTTTCAATCTTTTAAATTCTTGCGTTATCTTGGATGTTTTTGCAACTTTTCATTTTGCCTCAGCAAAAATAACTTCAAGAAACTTATTAGAAGACGCAAATCCTATCGACGTATTCAAGTCAAACGTAACCCACATGTTGGAATTATTTCATAATACATACTTTATCACAAAAAGCATTTTCTCGTTATTTCTACTCGAATTTTCAGCTAAATTCTGCGCTGAGACTCCATTGATATCCGAAACGGAAAATAGCTCTTACATAACGAATTCTAATTGAAATAGCTATAGCGGAGATTTGAAACAAGACTGATAAAAATACATTTACTTAAATGAACCAAATAAAAACCTGTCAATGGAATAGCCGAACGCAAAAATAGGCGCCAATAACTATTTTCTGACTGAAGACTGAAAACGCTCTAAAATTAATTTTACTAGCCGGTATGAGAATTGCTTGAACGTAATCCACCAAATGTATGTTATGCACTATTAATTTGAGCCGATTCTTGCGTCTAGAAAAAGGCACCGCATTGGCTCGTAAATGAGCCAGCCTCTCAATGATTTTGACAAGCGGGATTACTTCTCTTTAGGGTACAGAGCAGATACAGTTCTGTTGCTACATTGAGATGGGCTTTAGAGTTATAGTGCATGACATGTACATGTTTTCGTCATGATCTCGCTATCTCATATACGGAGTGGTCTCCTATGATTCTTAACACAAAGTATTTAAGTAAGTCCAATCACGATGAAAGATTGTCTAGTAACTGTAGATAAACACACATACACAGATGTACGTCTATTATCAAGACACGTTGCTTCTCCAGTAATAATAACGATCTTTGATGTATAGGTAGCTACGCCGTCGACGCGTACTTCGGTGGCGCGGATGTTTCAGCGTTGAGCCAAATAGACGCCGCTCCAAACGTAGATTGTAGCGCCTTGTATAGCAACCCTTGTAACCGGACAAAAGTTTGTTGTGCCTACACAAAGTGTAGGCTTTAACTGTTTTAGACTGTTAAAGTTAATCCCTTTTACGGCCGAAGCCCAACGTAGTAAGTACATAAGCGATATTTATATAAATACAATACAAACAAACGTTGACTAGCTGAGACAATACAAAACAGCAATTGACTGTACACGTGGATACAGCAATGCATACCCGGAGTGAACGCTTCACTCACAACATTAGTGGAATATATCCGTTCATATCCAACCTTGTTAGCAGTTAATTAATTTTTACTTTAGGAATGCATGTGATCTTCAATGTTTCAAGCGGTAATTCTACAAAGGCTGCACAGGCTATGACAGGGGTGACTTGTGAAGTCGACACTGTTGTGCCTGACTGACCGAAAGACCACTCCTGAGCCACTTTCATCTCACCCGTTTTCATTTAATTTGTCAAAAAATCATATGCTTTTCTTAAGAAACTGTTATACGTCAATACACCGATAGCGGGGCATACAGCCAGAAAGCGTATTGATTCCACACTCAGATCGTGATGCGGATCGGCTGTCTTTAGCAGGCATAGACCACTCTGACTAGCACAACCATATTGAGACGCTTTTTTCCTTAGGTCTCTTCTAATCGACCTACAATCGAACACAGACATATATACCTAGACACCTGCAATTCTTTTACGATGCTATGCCCTTTTGATACATGCGGTCATACTTACGCCTTGACATGCTCGTACAATAAACAGCTCCCATTCGTAGCGCGTCCAATGATCATTTGTACCGATTGACAGCGTGTCGGATAAGTGATAGGTTTGCTCTCTCTAAGCGAAACCGGCATCAGTCGTCAACAATTGGCCCTGCGTTGAACTCGACAACTTCACCACGGAGCTTCTCTTACTTGGATCCGGTAACCGTAATAAAGAATCGGCAGGCCATTTACAATGGGGAACGTCACTGATAGACACAAAGAAACAGAGAGGAAAAGGGCAGAGGTAGTATCATTAAAACACGACGACTATTACCAACGAACGTGAGTTGTATTCCTCGAGCCTACCACAGGCTATCGACTCGTCGATGCTAGCTACAATTGGCTGACTGTGCAGCATGAATCTCAAGCTAACGACAAGTACTTGCAAGCGCGTACTGCTACCTCTTTTATAGAATGTAGCCGAAATCAGTGCATTTGTTACCCTCAGCTAAACCAGTAGGGATAAATGTGGCCGTGGGATGAGCAATAATTGACTTTTTACCCGATTGACATTGCCTTAAAAAGACATTACGGTTCCAAAAGGAGGCTTGAGGAAGAGGCCCCACTTTCGACTACCACTGGTCGGAGCAGGTCGCCGCTAAGATTGCGAGCGTCAATTAGTGCCGCTGGCTAGTCGGTGTATGGAGGCCTGGCGATAGGCCTATGCTGTTTCAGCCATGCCATCGCGATCAAGGGCAGCACGCAGCTCAGCGGCACCATCAACACTGCACGCACACATCATCAAGCTCGTGTTTTTCGTGTTGACGTTTCTCGTGTTTGTGATTCTGCAAAACTCGCTGGTGTATTTTGGTGGGTTATTAGGCGAAATAGAAATTTTTTGTTCGGTCGCTTGTAACAAAGGGTGTGCGAAACAGAACAGAGACACTGGCAGAAGTGTAACAAGTTGTGGGATTGAATTCCATAGCTTATTATAGATATTGAATATGGCACGCTGCGTGGCCAATTTCTCACTATTTCAAACATGAAAAAGATGACGTAGCTTCAAGTGCTAAGCGACCTGTAGGCTTGACAAAGCGTCACTGGATGCAAAACGATACTGTTCGTTAGGTTGATTCGCTCTCATTAAAGATCTGTCAGGGCCAATATTAACTCTAATGTACGAGTCAGCGATTGCGCAACAGTGATTCGGCCTAAGCTGCTAAAGGTTTACATCGAAGAAACAGAACGTCTATGCAACTCCCTTCATACAATGCAGTTAATCAAACTGGCGCTAGTGGCTTCTTTAAATCTAAATTAATAAGAATGTTACTGTTGGAGGAGGTGTTCCCGACAAAGAACTCAAAAAAAGTTTGCGGCAATGAGTGTAAAAGTCTAGCAAGATGTTAATAGCTATTCCTTTTTGCAGAGTTTCCGTTACTTACAACTACCACACATGTACTGAAGGAGCATATTAGCGTAACGCTACATGTTTTGTATTAGTTGGATTAGACTGGGCAATTCCTTCCTCGAAATACCAGCTCCATATTAACTAGGTACGAACTTGATTATTTAGCCACGTAATACAGCATATACATACTGTTCATATAGGGCCCCGTATCTGTCTCTGTAGCACTCTGCTACAGATTACTATAGTTAAGCCTTAATGTTCTAAACCGTCCTATTTGGAAATGTGTTTGGTCATTGTTCGCACCATTTTCCTGAACCTTCGGGCAGCCGGTTTTTAACACATAGGTGCCCTTCAGCAGCAGAGTGGCTTGAAACTCCTTCCCGATCTTATTATTGCCAAAGCCATGTACCTAAAATCAGGCGACAGACAAGTCGTAGTGGCTTAGTTCGAATAAAACAGTTAAACTTATACTTTGAAATATTTTAGAAGATATATATTAGATTCATAAGGGGGGTATTCTTAGCATCTGCCAAGCGCAATTTGAGTCATTTTGTAGAGCATGAGAAGACCAGCCACTTTTTTTTCTCGATTTAGCAACACGTGTAATTGAGTCTGCTTTGTCAGAATTGTGCACAGCTTTTTTAAGACTCATTTTTTCAATGCGATTTCAATTAGTGACATTTTCATTTTAAAATGAGAGCTCGAACTAGCTTTCATAACATCGGAACATGGCTGTGCCGTTTCGAAGATGATCCTAGTTATCTACTAGAGCTCAACTGCGGGATCTGGCATTAGTCTTACTATTTCTTTAATAGAGCTAGCGTATCCTTGAGAAATAAATTGTCTTATCAATAAAACGTTTTTTCTCGATATTTTCTTACTTGAAAATGCTGGCGCACGACAACCGTCGCGTATTTTTTTCCGTTTTGACCTAACAACTGTTTCAGATAAAATATGGAGCCAATTTCGACTCGAACTGACTGGAATCCCGTGGTGGATTATAGTTTTGGCAGCTATTGGCACGTTAACAATATTCTGGATACTTTTTTTAGGAGTCGACCAATTAATTATGAGGTAAGTATGAAAAACACAACCCAAAAGCTATAAAAAAAAATGTACACTTTTTTTTGTCTATATATAACTTTAAATAGTATACATCCCAACAAAAAGCGCAGAAAAAATGTGCTCTACAAACGCCATTGAAATGTTTGTGTTTTTCGGTACCAACCGCATACCAAAATCAGGATATCAGGACACTATCGAAATGACTGCGAAACCCTGAGCTCGGATTTGGAGTCAGACGATAATTCGGATGTCGAGGAAGGGCTCTTACAAAAAAAGTACAGCAAGGAACCTTTGAATAAAGTACGTTTTTAATAATATTTAATATATAAATGTGTTGCTTTATTTCCTCCGCACAAACATCCGTGCTCACAGCACATAGATGCTCCCAAACTACCCTGATATGCCAGAATCGCATACATTCTAGACGTAAGATCTCTAATTGTGTCCATTTCAGTTTGTATAACTGAATAGAGATCAAAAGCAAAATTTTTCCTTCACTTAGTTCACAAATGTGCAGCTTGTCCTAACTGAATTCAGATACAATATTCTTAGAGCGTCATTTGCCTAACAGCGTCACGAAGTATTATAGAATCGTGTTACTAATTATTAAGCGCATCTATAGACCATATGCATATAAATATTTCAATAATAAACGGAAAGCTTTCCTTGTAACGTGTTTGCTTGCCAACCTTAAGGACACGCGATGTCTAGGCTCGAATCGCGCCACAAACACACTATGCCTTGTACTGTGAGCTAGACCTCTAATGGAAGGCCGAACGTACGACTCTAAATATTCAGTTTACATCAGCCATGATCAATAACAATTGGATAAACCACTAAGGCTATACCTATATTTTTTACTGGACAGGGGCAGCTCAGGGAGAAAACCAGAAATTTTTAGAAGCTGTAAGCAACCGGGAATCAGTTTGCTCCCTGTGGTTATTGTTAAACGCCTTCGTTAGAACATTTTCCTACCAAATAATGATAAACTGAATGCTCTTTTATAATTATGAAATATAATTAGGGTCGTTTGTGGTTCGCTAAACCTTAACATTGAAGCCTAGACTCCAGTGAGACAATCCGTGAACAATCCGCTAGAATTAGATTGTATGAGTGTCCTTTTACAGAGAGTCCATAAATCAGTTTTACCCTAGCTTAAGCTAGAACCAACTTGTCGATTTTATGGGTATTTGGTAAACTAATTCAAACTGATGTGGCGACATGCAGCGTATATACTAAAAGTGCGTTGTAGTGGTCTTATAACCATGGAAGTAGGATTACAAGAGTTCTTATGTGTTTCATATTGTCGTTCACCGAAGCAGAAGGCACACACGTGCTCACAAAAACCGTCTCACTCAGCCAGAAGTTTCGCGGGAAAGGAAAAACGGCCTGGTGAAGGTCATTCAAGGTCTCAGGATGGGTCCCAGGGAAACAACTATGGAATCGTTCAACAATCAACCGGAGATCAACAGGGGAGTGAAAAAAAAGATCAGGATTCGCAAAATCCCACGGATGTCGATGTAGCCGTCCGTCCTGTCGACACAACTATTGCAGGTAAAAAAAAAAACAGCTAAAAAACGTATACGTTCAAAACACATGAATATAGGTACGTATAAACATTTGATATATGTGTATATGTATATATATAATATATAGGACATATTGAAATTCAGAATTTTCGGCTTTATAAAATACACGGACCACAGTTCTATATACATGTTATTTACCAGGGAATTAAAATTAACGCTTAGAATATAACAGGCGCGCTTAAGTTTCTTAAAGACCTGTGCTCCAATAGGCAGTACTATACATTTTTCATCTTACTATATAAATCCAATTACGGTGGCCAAAACCACTTTCGTCATATTGGCGTATCATATACCATAGCATTTTTCCACCAAGCATACCCGTCGAAGGTAAATATTAGAAGTCCAAACATACATAAAGGAGTAACTTTATATAGACCTGGACTTCAAGAAACGTCATGTTTTACATTAACAACGAAAAAATATTATGAAAAAAAACACGACATTTGGCTTACCTAATTAATGCCTCTAATTTTTTTTAGCTGGCGGCGAGGCGCGGGTATCACCAACCTACAATGTGTCTCTGATGAGCTTCTCAAATGATAACGCACAAGAATCCGGTTATTTGTACGGGTCCAATCGTCCCTACAATCCGATGTATCCTTCGGCTCCAGCAATGATGCAAAGCGCGCCGGCGTGCTTTAAAAGAAGCTTTTAATTCAAAATATTGTTAATAAAAAAAATATGATAAAATTAGAATATGGTAACAGTAAGCTGCTGTTGATCAGCTAATAAAGTGCTTGATTTTTAGGCTAAACGCATGCTTCTTTTCCCATCCCTTCGATTAGTATAGTTGATAAAAATTTATACGACACCAGTGTTGAAATTTGCAGAGCCCGTGTAGAGGTAATTTAGTGAAGGCAATAGGTCAACGGACCTGCTGGAAGCATTTTTAAAGAAATACTTTGAACAAATAAATAAATCAGCTAAATACTCTCGAACGTTCCTGTCATCCAATTGCGCCTTCGGTGTGTTGTTGTGTCATATGGTATATACAGTACGTTTTATATACAATTCCAGTTAGATCATGTTCGGAAAATAATGCAGCCCTAAATCCTCTCTCTCTAAAAGCAATAAAAAAGCTCAGTGGGTTCACGACTTCGCTTTTATCACTACCCGTTTTTCACAGGCGGTTTAATAACAGGCGAAACTTAAGTTAATTACTTTTGCTATTTCCAAGCGTTCAGATTATACTATAAGGGCCAATATATTTGAGTCAAATATCAACAAAATATTTTAAAGGTCCGCAAAAAGGCTGTAAGAGAAGAACGTTGGAAGCAGTCCAATACAGTGAATACGAATGGATAAACAAACAAGATTGATTCTAAACTACAAGTATCCAGATGTCCGACACGGGTTGTCTGTTTTTTTAACCTTTTAACCTCTCTAGCCTCTGCTAATGGCCGGGCACTCTATCCCGAATGGGAATTACTTGATGCATCTTCTATGCGTGTTCGCTGCATTTAGAATATGTATTAAGAAGACGAATCCTTTACAGTAAATATGTGGGACATAATTACGTAAACGTATATGTCAGGAGCAGTCGAAATTGGTTAAGTCTTATGCCGTCCTTAAATCAAGTATTATCATCATTCTTGAAGTAGTACAAGGCCGGGCACCACAAAGGTGAAATTGTGCTATTTACTGATGCTGTTATACTATATATGTAAACGAACTTGTAGCTTCGATACTTAGTCGTCATAAAATATATTCTATTCTAAAGCTATAATTTCGACAGTAATCGTTATACTTACTGTACCTATTAATACGTGGTATCTGTATATATATAACCTGTGTATGCATCAATAATTAAGCTCCTGTTAATTTCAAAGTGGTTTGCCGAGCAGCAAAATTGTTCTATCTAGTAAATTGTAACAGAGCTTCATTTACCAAGACAGCTTTGCAGTCTCTATTCCTCACCAAAAACGGTTCCAGGGTTTCATCGATCGAAGACGCTGCTTCGTCCTGAAAATAAGCGCAGTTAAGGCCCTACTGTGGTGTGGTCTTTGATGTCCGTCGGGCATAATCGCGCAGGCTCTAGCAAGCAAGCCGAGTTAGCGGCGATATCTATGTAACATTGATGATTCTGCCGGAGACCGAGACCCGCGCTCTCTGTCAGTAAGCTTCGGTGCGTGTACCATTGTTGTTGCGTCACACTAGCTTTAGCGACTGTGTTTGGTCATTCAGGTGAAATCGACCCACAGATCGTGTGGCCCCATTGAAAACGGACGTGCCTTGAAACTTAAGTATATATGACGAATGCAAAATGGCAGTGTGACGTCTAGCAAAATTCGAAAGAGCTAAAGGATTTTTGATCGCACGTTGGCATAGCGACTACACATCACTTCGAATATTTTTTTTTACTTCTCAAATTCTCAAGCACAGCTTATTAATAAGCTATCAACCTTTAGGTTCAGTTCGACATAATCATGGCCTATTTTCGTTTCTTAAGGGCATAAGCTATATGATGTTTCAACCTGCTATTGGATATACCAGTGAGTTTACATGTTATACGTGTGATGTGTAACAGATACACTAGGAACGGGCTTCGTACTGCGATGTCCTGTGTGGGAATTTTAATTTTTTTATATCCAATACTAAAGCAGTTTATATCCCACGAGTGAAGGTGATGTGATAGGCACGAGTACGTGTAGTGTGCTTACATTTTCCACTGAATTCTGCTTTCATTCATTTCTAGATTTTGAAAGCGCGTGTAGCTCTAAATTCACTGCTGTAGTATAAGAAATCTCCGCTGTTTCTATGAGTGTGGGGCTACATACTCCTACCTAGTACTTAAGCGTAATTGTATTTTATTTGCTTAAGCTGTCTCTGTTTTAAGTAGTTTGTTTTCTGTGCAGGTATGCTAATTAAAAATTACCTGCAGGGTGGCGGGGGGCGGTGATATTATACTCTACATGCTACCAGCCGATTAAACCCGCTGGGCACCAGTTAACTAAACAGAACATCTCTGGAAAGGAACAGATACTTTGATAATGTTACCTAGCAAGCGACTGCATCGATCTCATTTAGCAAACGCTCGGCAAATATGCTATGATAGAGCCCTATTGGTCTATAGATTTTACTCATGTTTACCTAAGATGCACAGTTTATTCACAACTATAAAGTTCCGATCCCAGCTTTACCTGTGAAGCAATTGAATTCAAAATATCCATCTAAGCCTAGCTTCTATCATAGCCGAGATACTGGGTCTCACCGAAGCACCCAGCAATCATCGCGCCACGCCAAGTAAGAAAATACAGTTCAGTACGCTAGGGGAGGACTAGCCGATTTTTGTTTTTTCGTTGCTTTTCGTGCGATAGTGACTGCCGAATGGAATCACAGCACTACTCAACGACCTTAGCTTCATCTCGTTCCATTTGCGTCCGTCAGCAAGCACACGGATCTTCATAATTTACATACCTGGTCATAATAATTATCATTCATAATATGTGTCGATCCAGCGCTGGCTAAATGCAAACCCCTAACTGCTCCGTCAATTTCTAGTAAGCACCCCATAAACAAGTCCAATTATCTTGTGGCTGGACCAGCCCAAGCGAGAACTCATGGCATATGTCCTATTACAACGAGACTTTGGACGTGTACTAATATGCTGTCTTTAGAACGCTTGAGTCGCATAAGATTAGTGGCAAATAATTCACTACAAAACATGGTATAAGAACGCCCTGATTTTCTACACCCCTTAATATCATCGGGATCGCGAGAGCAACAAATAAAGCTATACATCTTGACGAAGACTAGAAGCGCAATGGGCGAGAACGTCTCACGTCGCTTGGGTGACCTTTAGTAACTTTTGGCCATTATTTGTGCTGTAGGGCGTGTTCGTAGACGTATCTATCGGCTTTGCTAGACGACAAACGTAATAGATGGTTACAGTGGCAGGTGGGACAGATGTACAAGGACCAGTAGTAGAGATCTGAGTGAGAAGGACTGCGGCTACTATCGGAATACTTAAGGTACCTTTTGGCCAAACAAATGCGCAGAGACAATTGTCCTCAGTCGTTTAGTTTAAGAATAGCATATTTGTTTGCTTACTGTACACCTGATGTTCACCTAATTGACAACAGCTTACCCTTAACAGCTGATGATAACGTTGATTTATTCCTATTTCAATGACAATAGCAGTTTTATAAATGCTATATCATCGTATTGTTTATTGAAATACACATACTGTTCTAATGGATACGTTAACGCTGAAGCGAATACATTTCGAACAGTGCACGAATATGTCCGTGCTCGTTGGAAAAAACAGAGCCTTCTCGAATTGGTTTTACTGCAGTAGTTTCAACGGAATTCCTTCCACTCCTTTTACCTTGAATACACCTATATATATATATATATATATAGATATAGATATATATAGATATATATATGTATATAAATTGAATAATATGAATAAAGCTAGCCGGAAATGACTTTTGTCTATAATAGGTATATACTGCGAGCCTATATCGATTCTAAAGTCACAGAAAGACTAGGCGCGGGTGCAACGTCCACTTGCACGCGATGCAGCTGCTGGTCTTGTCAGAAGGACAAAAAAACATTTTACTGTATTCATAGTCCTAGCCCACTTGTTTTACCGCAGTGACCTCCGCCGGTAGGGCGTTCGTAAGGTTTGTCCACCTATAGCCTTATGTCTTGTCGTGTGATGTCTGTCACCGTACCTCTCAGTGGCAGATATGTAGGCTTCGTTAGACGAAGCGACACGCTGGTGCAAATAACGCGAGGGTGGCTGAGACAGTAAGGGAAACCCATTGCTTGGCGGCCAGGCAGGGCGATGGTTAAAGGAACCCATCAAGAAAAGCTAGTCTACTGCTGGTGATTGCTTTGGGCCCTCCCGAAAATCTTTGGTATTACTCTTCAACGAGAAAGGCTGTGCGAGGGTGAGCTGCCTAAACGCCGCATTTCCTTCCAGCAATCTCAAACAGTCTATTTGTGCGGAAATCAACAAGCCAGGAGGAACAAGGATTGAAGTGAATCGTAGTCGCACTGTCGAAACGAGCAAGTTAAGCTAAACTATTCTCGTTGCATTGGGCTTGCCTTTGAAGTTACGCTATTCCACATATCCTCAGGTAGGACGATTCACACAGATTAAATTCATTCAATAAACCTGTTCATAATGTAGTTATTGCTTCGATATTTATGCGCATGTAAAAATGTGCAAGCATGCTGATGAGTAAAACCCATTTTTAACAATTTGGAAAATTTCCCTTGGTTATCGTTGATAGTATTGGTTTCAAGTATGAACCAACAACGTAGGAAATAGTGTGCTTTCCAAAAGGACAATATTGCCCTTTGAGACTAAGGGCTGTTAAGACACGAACGAAACAGGACAAATGAAATCAATACAAGTGCCAGCACGTATAAGAACAGGTACCAGATATCGCGAGCAGTGAAGTTAGGTTTTATTAGAGCTATACACGTATTGTCTCGTGAACGTGTCCTATTGTTGTAACTCGGGTTCGAACAATTATTTTTATTCATTAAAATTCGTCTTCATCGTGGGTGGGTAGGTAATAATTCAATTGATATTATATATATTGATAATTAGGGGTTTTAATTCTTGCAACAAATGGTCCAGTTAAATTACGATGTTGGCAAAAATAGCCTTTTAAAAACAACAGCTAGTTAATGATTCAAGGAGGGAAGTGTTATGGCTGAAGCTTTTTAACATCCGTATCACCCACCAAGTTGATGTTAACATTATGCATAATTATTTCTATTGCCTTAATCAAATATAATTACCCGCATGCAGTTTAGGAGAGCTAACTTCGCGAGAACTTGAGTTTAACTCCACATGTAAGTCTCTATATTTTGTTAGGCGTTTCATCAGAAACTTACTTGAAAACTACTGCACCTAAATTCAGTTTAAGCCTACGTTACAGACTGGTGAAAAATGTGAAGCCTCGAGATCAGATAAAAGGTGCCTTGCATCCTCTTATCACAGTGGTGGGTTTTTAGTGTGCCCGAAACTTTTATCTCTAGCGAATCTCGTATGATTTAGATAACATTTGGCAAATTGCACCCTAATATTACACTCCGCTGTCAAAGAAACGAATCTGAAATTGATCAGAACACAAAGATGCTAAAAGTACCGGTCGGTAATTGTTTAGTAGCTAGGTTGACTTCAAGATTTTTCCTCTTATGTTGAGGCCGTGTAAACCGCTTTACTTGTAAATATAATTGAAAGACTCGCTCATACCTGAAACCAATAGGGACCATATGCCACTTTTTCAAGTTGTCACGCTTAAAGGTTAACGGTTACCTATGAATATCTAAAGGTCATGCATACATGGAAGCAGGTTTATGGCCCATATCACTCTCGTTCTTCCATATTTCGACACCGTCAAATTTCCGTTACCCCTTACTGTTGATCATCGGTGCCATCATGCTGCTTACATAATAAAGCGTCTACCTCGGATGAGATCGGTTTAATCATCATGAGTACGCCAGATGTTCACAAGTTACCGCAAAGCTCATACGAGATGATTTCATGTACTTTAGACACGATATTGGTTGGATACGTACTTGATGCGTCATTTCTGTATTATATATAGTATTCATGCAATAGTAATGAAAATTAGCGGACCATACGGTTCGGACCTCATACTTGAGCTAAGCTATATATGTTTTCTCCTTTTATTTTTTAGGGAATACGTTTTGAGCAGCTATCCTGACTCCTTTTTTTAAGGATACGCGAATCTAATTTGCGTCCACTGTTAAATAAAATGTTAGAAAATACTTCTCCATAAGCCGAAAATTCAAACCAATCTTGCCTGTCCACGATGCAACAAGATTCAATTGACTTCATATATGAATTCGGTACAAAGCTAGCCTTTAACAGCTTAATTTATTGACCCTTTAGCGCCTTATCGAACAATGCTTAGCGAATATAAACGTATTCTAGAACAAGCAACAGCCACTTGCAAATGACACATTCGTAGTATTGTGGTTGCCTGGAGATGGGTTTGCGTTAGCACACATATCTAGAGTACTTATCTAAAATTCAAGTTACTCACGTTCCCTTTGTTTGAAACGCCGATCAACGAACAACCTACAAGCATTTCGAGTTTTGCTGGTAGGTCGTCATGCGCTCTAAGTTGAAAGTAACCTCCTATTCGAGGACATATATCATCGTAACGTAACCATACGAATACAAGTGATAGTCATGCAAATTTATATTACGTCCTGTCAATTACCTGTAATATCATGACAGGTAACTGTATACTTTTAAACACCTTCATATCTTATGGCTTTGTCATTTAGCCTTCATAGTTATCACGGCATAGATGAGAAACTAACGTTTCTTAGCTTTGCTTCTAATACTAATTCACTACGATCTGTTTTAAAACTAGTTCACTATTCTCTGAATTAAAATAAAGGCTGTGGATTAATTTTAATCTATGAGGGCAATCATGATTACCTAGTTTATCTTCGAAGTTTCGGTATTTCGGATTTTTTTTTTAAACAGTTTCGTCTATACCCTAGTTTCTTATTGAATATATCTGCCACTTAATTCATTAGTTATTACTTCTATTTGGATACAATGGTACTCGTTGTTTAATAAATTAATTAATCCAGAGTGGGCTCAATTCTCTATGAACCAAGCCAGAAGGGGTAGCTTGCTTTTCTAAACAGCTTCGAGTATAGTCCTAATTCCGAGGCGAACGAGCTTGCACAAGCAAGCGTGCTACATATTATAGCACACTGCATATTGAATTTCAATTAGGGAGCTAGAAGTTTTTTTTTGAATATGTGTATGAAATCCTGCAAGTTTCTTACTTGCCAGAAATTCTTACTTGGATAATGGATCTTAAGATTGAAATAAACGACTATTTTACTATTGGAACATTCACGGTAGGATTCGCAAGTTATGTGATCTACCCAGCGTCGACGCAAAGTCCGTCCGTTCATTAACTGACCCAGGCTGTACCAAGCTTGACTTTTCCCATTTTATATTAGGTGTTAGGTGGTATACATTTCTAAAGCGTTACCAAAACTTCAGTTAGGAAAGACTACAGGCCAAAGTCTCGATCGCTGTGGTCTTGGCATCAGCGCTATTCCAGGCAGAACTCAGACCTTTAGTGACCCGCTCTCAAGTGTTTCTATGCTACTTTTTTTGTGACCTTTTGGTAACCAAGTGGTAATGCTGGTAGTGCATTATGCTGCTGCTTGTTAAACACTCTTTAATTGCCGGTAATGGTCCGACCCATGCCGATCATTGTATCTGATGTGTTAAAGGCGATCTAGAAAGAGGAATGCCGCATGTTCATTTGTTCTCTAGACAGACGCGCCCAAGTATAACAAAGCCAGAGGTTGGTCTTATTCGATTACTGCTGTTAGTATTAATCGTTAATTTTGTGTTGCCGAACCACAAAGTGTATTTTTCCTTTTTTGTTAACCAAACCTGTCGATTTATCTTGTTCTGTGGCTGTATAGTGACCTGGCAAGAAAATGGATTTGAGTCAGGGTTACTACGAGGACAAAATCGTCAAAGCATGTCCGCAATGGATAAGACACAAATACTGAAGTATATAGATGTACACATAGTAGAGCAATAACTTTTGTATTTCCGTATTTCTCACGCCCAACTTCTGTTACCTTTACAGAATGCCTATCTCAGTATATATTCCACGTGCTCGGCATCTCCCGCGCTACGGGTTGTTGGATAATCCCTACGAAAATAATAGGTGAGACAGCGAGAGGATTGTCTAAGGGGCTTTCGGTGTGCTAAAAGCATTCACATTGGAAGAAAATGTAAATCAACTTATTATTCTTTTACATTCCGATGATTACGATGTGTAATCGCTGCTAGCAGTGACGCTAGTAGATGCTAGCTAGGACATTTGTTTGCCTATCTAGATTTGGGACGCGTGATGGCCTAAGGTCGAATTCGCTTCTTCCACTTCGATTCGCGCTGGAAGCCAGCCGTCTAATTGAACACCGAACGGCTTAGGCGCCGGGCGTAAAACTCAAAACATCTATAAGCTGTATGCCCCATTTAGGAATAGTGCTGCAAGGAAAGATTCAGTGCGTCTTTAAAAAGTATTTAAACGTTCGACACAGCATTGGAACTAAAATCTATATGAGCACGTAAAATGGTGAAAAGCAAGAAGGCTAAAAATATACAATTATATCTATAATTTTGAAATGGACTTGCTTACAATGTAAATAAGGCCGAATAAGAAGAGGTCAAATCAAGGAAAGAGTTTTTTTTATTGATATTTGGATATTATCAATCTGTTTATCTTTCTAGGGCACTTGTTCAGCACGAGCCCTTAGTGCAGGTGGACTTCGAATTGTTTGGCGATGTTGAAGGTAGGTATTTGTCTGACGCAATTTTACTGCAATAAAAAGCAGTAGCTTTAAATACCATAGGCGGTCCATTGAGCCGTGCACATGTATTAGACCGAAGCCTTATCATTAGCTTGAGTATTATTAAGTACCCTCTGAGCAAACTACGAAATTGCATAAGTATCGAGTACCATAGAATAGTTCTAACAGTCAGCCGCCTCACTTCTGCTGTCGATGCTCGAAATTCAACCTGCTGGCGCAAATGAAAGAAAGAGACGAGCTGTTATATAATAACTCGAAGACCAAATGGCGCCGTTTATATAGAACCGGCAGCATCTGTAACAATTTGTACCGTCTGCGGCGACTGCATAGCTAAGAGCAGCATACATAACGGGGCCGCAATGACTGACTATGAGAAGTACCCCGTCTTACTCGATACTTATGATATTCAGAGTTAACTAGCGAGGTATTCGGTAAACATCATTACCCGCTCTATCCATCTGTTATTTTAAACGATCTCCGCATGCCCTGAACAATCCATCTAACGGAGTTATTTGGGAGGAGAGTTTTTTATGCTGTTCAAAAAACTGAGCATACAACATACAAGATGTTCCTGTCAGTCTTTTCAAATGGATATATTATCCGTCTCAATATTTAGTTGAGACGACAGCTAAAAAGAATAATGTATAACATTTTCGATTGCCTAAAGCATGATGGATCAAGCATCAACATACATGCATGTGTTTATGAATACGTATTGTATTAGGAAATAGATCAATACATCATATTTAATAAGCTGTTTTCATTTCAGGGTTTAACTTCCGAGCGGTGAGTCTGATCTAATTATTCGATCGTCTTATGGATATTTACAAATTATCAGATAATACTTTGCGAGAAATAACAGAATTCTATTTATGACTCTAATATCTATGTTAATTCACACAGGTTATGTAGTATGCCTTGTTGGTAGCCCTGAAGGCAGCAAGCCTTATTCTCTTTTAACCAGAGGCTTGGCCATCTTTATGGTCGTGCAATAGATAATTTTAACTTTCATGTTCTCATCATAGAAAATAAAACATTGACATTTGTTTTTACAGTTTTTATTTTCCTTGCATGATTCGTCGTAAACTAATAACAATAACAATATGCTAACGTTGGTTTAATCTCCTGATCTTTTGCTTACTTATGTGAACGCCTAAACATCGGGTTCGTCAATGTGCTCTGGTGATGTTACGTCACGATTGTGTTGACAACAGTATGCAAAGGATAAGGCCCTTCAGCTCGGTGTAGCAGGGTGGATGAAGTGCTCCCGTTGCCATACGATCGTCGGCCAGCTTCAGGGCGACAAGGACCGGGTAAACGATATGTGAGTACATACCGCTACCATTTTACTACCTCGCAGGTGACGTTTGACTAAATCGCAATTCAGAACATTACAGCCTGTGTACTAATCAATGCAATCTTCCTCGGATGCATAACGCTCTTATAGGAAAGGAAATAAAGTGCCTGAAATATGCTTTTGCTATTTACTTTCTTCCACTTGACATCGGCGTATGACTTTCTCTGAGTTAACGCCTCCGGCTCATCCTACTGCCAAAACAACTCCTCGAAGTTATCCTCTCGGTATAGTACCAACCTACATCAGCCATGAAGCTATGATTTAAATGAATTGCTTGTTTTGACAAGGATTTTGCCTCATCTAGTTCCTGACTCAAAGTACGGCATTGAAATAACTGTAGATATGTGTACTCAAAGGGTATATTCAAACGGGGGCTTTATTTGCTGCTTTTGATGGTTTTAATAAAAAAAAACTTACGCAAGATTCGAGTCGTCTACTTGAAGAGATTATATTACCGTCGCTTACTTGAAGCACGCGAACACATATACGAAGCTGACTTGATTTTCTCGATCGAATTTACAGGACAAAATGGCTTGCTGCACAAAGTGCACCTGGATCAAAGGTAGGTATTCTAGAAAGTACTGGATATCCAATACGACTAGAGACAAAAGAAATTTTCTAAAGCAAATGTCACACATAGTTCAAAAAAGATGTAGTTAGTCACGCACGCATTGTTTACGTAGATGTGCCTGACGAAGAATAATTAGACACTCATATAATAAGATAGTGCAACAAAGCTTTAAAGGAAATGACTATACAGGTAAATCTATGACTGTGAAGCACTGACAAGGCCCCATGTCGTCACGAATTGACGAATGAAACATAGAAATACCTTATATTCATACGTGTAATATCTATCATTCTTAGAGGTCGAAACAAGTAACAAAACGACTAAGTACAGAAGTAAGGATCTGTCGAGTCGTAAAAAATCTTTTTACCGACCACTATGAGTAGGGAAAATCCTGTAGCAGTATTAAAAGCCCCGTACGATGTTTATAATAAAAATGGCTTAAAAAAAAAATATAAATAAGATGACTTGTATTTTAGGTTCGTCGCATGGAGCTGCGGCATTGGCAAATTATTGACGGCATGACGATGCGGGACTTTTCACTGCGCTTCTGAACACTGCCACGGTTCTATATATCATACACCCTCATTGTGGGGAAACACGTAATTTGATTATAATGTTTCAGCAGATAAAATCCTAATGTTACCCGATGAAATGGGGATGGATCTGTAAAAAATCCTGTAACACCGATTTCTCACACCAATTTGTTACAATTCCTTAGTTGAATAAAAAATACCGGTTGTTGCCTAGGATTTGACAGGCCAGTCGGATACTGTTGTCTATACACGAAGAACAATATTTGTGCACATAAGAACCTGATGTTAATAAGAATATGCCGTATGTAGTTGTACTGGAGGTGCAACCTGCTTATTAAGAATGGTCAGCTGTGTATTAATGGAGAATAAATGTAGGAGTTGCTTATGATCGTGGTCATGTGTAGTTATTTATGTTAGGTAAAAAAACATGTTAATACAATTTGACAATTTTTACCTTGGCGCATTCAAAGATGGCAACTGTGTAGTCTAGTTTATAGAGTGCGTTATAACTACATCAAGTGCACCAGAAGATACAGGTGACCGTAAAGATTAAGGCTGGGACAGCGGTTAACTTTTGTTATTAGATATTTAAAAGAGCGAATTTTTACCGATGTAATTTCTGGTCAACAGTATCAAATCAATAATTTATTCACCCTAGCTGAATGTCGATGAAAATTCCTATTAGGTCAAAGAGAAGATATCTGAATCTTAGTGAGAATTTGCAGAATTACTTAAAACCTTTTACGTAATATGACTCATTCAAATGTTATTGAGTTTGTAGAACAATGTTAGGGTTTTTCCAGATGTTCTGTTTTCAGATGAGTGTCCAGATATTGTCTGTTATCCCGCAGGGGACAACAGACAGGCAAACCCGCAGGCAAGATGGTTTACATTACAGTTATCCGGCATCTAAAGCACCTACATGTATCGTGACGCTCGTGGCCCTGATTTTCTACAGAGTCTATGGTGGAACCCATGCATAGCAAAGTGAATTACGGCATGCCTGTTGAGTCGGTTTGTCCCGTCCCACTCGTTATTCCTCATCGAGCCAAAAGCAAGAAAATCTCCACAGATATTCGCAAGTTCTTTTTCCCAGTTCTTAAAATTGGTTCTATAGGCTTCCATTACTGGGACTTCGATGTACATCCTGTGACGAGTCATCTAGGCGATATGCGACGTCATGTCAATAGATGTAGCTCTAGTCTAAAGACGCTTTAATACGATTTAATGGTCTGAAGGTCTTCACTAAAACCTTTTTAAATGTCGCGTATCTCATACTTTGCGACCGGAGATACGTTAGAATCGAACAAGCTGAGCGCACTAGCGAGAACAAGCAATTTGATTGTCCATGCAGCTAACACTGTCTTCGTGCGTCTGCCGCTAATGTGCGCGGTGTCGTTTTTGCCATTCGCACAAAAGAGCAACCCCAAGTACGGAAATCGGTTTATATAGGAAAGAGGGAACTTGGCAAGTTAAAATATGTCAGTGGTTGCTGCCCTGCCTCTCCTTCTAAACTTCATCGCCTCTGCCTTAGTCAAATATAGGGTCAATCCCGAATATATGACTGACGCGTGAAAGCCGGCTAAGGGTTGTTGTACTTGGAGCTTGTTCGACCCGTATTTCACCAAGTCATCTGCATATAAGATAGCTTCGATTGACTGGGGAGGTTCTTCAGCAAGATGGAGAATAGGAGCGAGCTTAGGTTGAGCCCCTAAGTCAGAGCAACTGTCTGTATGGAGTGCGGGAGTTCAGCTATTCAGTCGTCGACGGTTATCCTGTTCCCGCGGTGAGTTGGAACATGAAGACTGAGCATATGCATGAGACACTTAACTCAGCCAGCGCGAGCATAATCATGGCCCTCAGCACCAAAGTAGAAGGCCACCTTGAGGTCGACGAATAATGCACATAGCGGAATGTGCGCCACGACCTTGACTTCGACCGTTATGATCCTGCAGCGGAAAAGTAGCTTATGATGATCACTTCGTCGTTATTCCCAGCTTTGATAACATTTCACTGATTCATTAGGGCATAAAAGCTAATCAGGGAAATCGCCAAAACGGAGTCTAAAGTGTAAAACTCAGGTTGTACCTCGGTCATAAGCCTGAACGCCGTTTAGGCCTTCCGAGCAAAGCTGTAAGTATAGTTGAGCTACGGTTTATGCTTCCGGGAGTGGGGACGGAAAGACTGTACTGTAAAGTAAAGAATTTCAATTAGATACCGCGCAGAAATTTCAACATTCACCACGTCAGGTTCAGGTAGAACTTCGTAGGTGCGTTTCTGGAGCTTATCTACATCTAATTGTCGCGACGACGTTTGACTGTTGACGGTTTGCGTAGGTACAAGTTGGTCAATAAGGCCTAGCACCATCGGTATGAGCGCACGAATATTAGGCCCTCTGACAGTGAATAATTCTCATCTTGAAACTTTACCCAATTCGTGGTTACTCCAACCGTGAATATGTCTTAAAAGCCCACACTGCGCCCTGAATTCAGCAGCGTGCGCTGAAGTCGCCGCAACGAGGGAGAATGGGAAGACAGTATTTCCAGTCCACCGACGAGTTTCTCCACCGATAAATACGTTATTTCCGAATCAGATAGAGGAACATAGGCTGCTCCAGTATTTAGTCGTGAAGCATGTAAAGCGATAACGTTATTCTCCATTAGGCACGGCTTGAAATCGCTTATTTTATAATTGTAGAAAATGGTCTCTATTGGGTCGGTCTGGCCCAGAGCTTTTCATTGCGCAGCAGTGTACAGAATAAAGACGCGGTAAATTTAAAACGTTAGATTGCCTCAATTTTTGTTAGTACTAAAACCTCTTTACTATCCAGATCCTCCGGGCAGGAAAGCGCCATAGTTGTAATCACTTGACAGTTCCACTGTGTAATTCTTGCTGTATCATGCTATATAATAATTTACAATTTTAAATAGAACGTTAAAGCTTGTTAGTGTAGATTCTTGAATAATTTTAAACCTCTAAAGTGAGCCTCGATGAAAATACTATTTGAAATAACCTCGGGACAACACTTTGGTTTAGGACATGTTAGAAAACACAGCGGAAATCAAATCATACCCTGAAATCGTCTTGCGAGATTGTTATCGTAAAATGTACATATTGTTTATTCTGCGAATAATTGCGATACACGTGATTATTGTTATCTTAAAAACAGATATACCTATAGATTAAAGTAATATCTTTCCTTACTGTGATAAATGGGACAGTGTAGTGGACTTTATATATAATATGTGAATATACACGTAGAAACCTACCAACACTGAGCACCAATATAGCTTGCACATTCGCAAAGTAGACATGACTAGGCGCTACTTCATTGTTGTCAATCGACTTAGTAACTCGCCTGATATGTACGGATATTGTTCAAATGTTCTTTTCGTGCAATATTTTGTCCTTTCAATCAAGTTAACCCTTTATTTGCTAAATCGGTTAACTTGATATTAAACAAATGAGACTCAGGACCTACGCGCTTGGGTTCACACCGGAAACGTATGCTCTTGATGTTTAAACAAAAATATTATAGACAGAAAACTGATGGAAATATAATAAAGCGAACTCTTCCAATACAAGTGCATTTAATAACTTTAATTCAATGATTATTTGTCTATAAAAATGTTAGTTGGGTTTAAACTTCAGGCAATTAAGCTAGTTCAAAGAACGATAGAAGAGTATCGTGATAATAGGTTACGGAAAAGATGTCTGGTTATTGTAATGGTGCAGTGGTAACGTGTTTGTCGTCTGAAACTGAGAATTGACGCAGTTTGTTCCAGAAGCCAGTTGTCCGAAACAGTTTTAATGGCAGAATCGGCTGAAATATTTAAGAAAAATATGGTTTGCAGAGGACTGCAATACGTAAAGCATCTGCACCATTCAATGCAACTGTTGTTAGCTATTTTTATTACATCTAGCAGAGCATATGGAGATTTTTAACCACATTTCCATGTATATGTTAACCGTATTTGAAATTTCTAGAGGTCATCGGGGGCGGCTCACCTTGAAAAAGGAATCATCTTCTTCTTCCACAATAATAAAACCTTTAAATTTTACAATATTTTAAACAAGGCTAGTGCTTCAGTTTATTTAAACCGATTTATCTATACAGGCTTATGTACGTGAATGAAATTTATTAATAGACTTAGGCTGAAGCTGAAGTATCATTGACATAAACCCATTGCATTACTACTGCTAAAATTTTTGTGGGAAACACGCGATATCAATAAACCGTCTAACTTCAACGTTCCAAAAAGGTAAACACATGCTTAAACATTGCTACCTATGAGATTTTACTGAAGAGCCTTTTCACGATTTTTCTCTAAATAACAATGAATCATCCTATCTGTATCATTTTATCGTATGCTATTCGTTTCATTTATTTCTTTAATTTGATCGAATCTGACCAGATGTGCAAGTCACAATACGTACCTACTACAAGTGTTCTTTACATTACGTTGGTTTTGTTTTTGTGTCGCTGTTATATCCATACCATTTATTGAAGAAACAATCAGCAACCAAAGTTTTCGATTGTCCGATGGTTGTGCCTGTTGATTGTGTCATCAAATGAGACAATTACTATCTCTCCAACCTCTGAGTAATCATACTGACAATACATGGTCACCGTCGATTCGATGCGTGATTGTATGAGATCCAGTTAAGTCTTGTGTGATATCAACATTGATGCGTAATATCAATTGTAAAGTATATTTAGCAACAGGCTGTTGAAGTGTGTGTCTGGTTGGGTTTGGTCAAGCAAACGGCTAGCCTAAGATTTCTAGATGAGAATAATATAATAAATAAATTAAATAGCTAATAAACGATCGGTCAATGAAAACTAGATCAACAGGTTAAATCAATGTTTTTGAGGGCTACTTATTATGGAATTTACGCTGAGACGAAACCACGATAGGGTGAATTGCAGGTGGAAACTGCCTTGTTAGTATTGTATCTTCAACGCAGCGTTTGCTACAAATAAAAAGCGATTTTTTCTAATTGAAAACTTTTCCTGATTGGAGACATACACAGCACTCTAAACCTATTTCGCCCCACTTTATACATACGCAACCTTTTGCTGTGCGGCGCTCAGTTTTATGTTTGTGTATAATTTCGGGGCATCTGGCAATTTTAATAGTCCGATATCGCATTGGCCTTCCTGGTTTCAGCGGTGCTTGGGTAGAGATGCCGCTGCGAAGACGCCAGTAAAACGCGGCGGTATCCGAAGGCGCTTCCGCCAACACCAATCTTTACGTAAACTGGCTCTATAAAACAACAATAACAACAATACCAGCAGTCGATGCAGTGCTTCTCTGGGATTGTAATGACTTGCCAGACATGGCCATCCCTTTGCCTACTTGTTTTGTTGAATCGTTTTTATTCGACACAAAATGTACTATAACTTGTTATTATCAACTTGAAATATTTGTCTCAAAAATAAATGAGGGTGACTTTCGATATTCAGGGTTTGTTTTTTAAGTCAAACTATTCGTCGAGAATCAAGCATATTTATAGTACAGACGTATCTTATTGTTTGTTTAATTATAAAAAGGCGTTTATTTTTGTTTTTTTACAAAAGGCATTTTTGCGTTCAAGATCGCTTCTTCAGGTGGATAGGCCGCTGTCAGGAACGTACGTGAGCGGGAACATTCAGCCTGACTGCCGTTGATTCAGATCCGACAAGCAATACCGTTCAAAAAACTTTAGCCGGAAGTATTCAAACCCGAACCGAAACATACTACGCAGGAAATGCTAAATGAAATAACAGAGCGTTCCAAACAGCACGTCCTTCTCCTGTCTTCGTAGGATTTGATTATATTTTATGTATGTTCTATATACTTTATATAAGTATATATAAGAATATTTTTTTTGACAGCAACTGCTATTACTATTGTGGTATATATTATTATATTAAGGGAGTACCACTTTTATCCGATGAAGTTTGGCGGCGTATAGCAGAAACGAGAATTTCACTCAAATATTTGATTTATTTAACGGACGAATCAATTGACAGATCGTCGGTTCTTTTTTCGATTGCGAACTGACCCGATTTACGTGAAAGTCGCATGCCAATACGAATACTTCTGAAAATTTGCTTCACATAGCTTTATTTTGCTTTATTTACCGTGTTGAAACGCATCCAATAAACACTTCTAAGTAACATGCCGTCGCGGACTACACGCTGTTGCCCAATTAAAATAATAAGTAACAAATCTTGTAAAATCGATCGTTGTGATCGATTTTTTATAAGTTCGCTCTATCTCATCTTTGTCATTATAGATGCACAGAGAGTTTTCTTTGCAGAAGAACATTAACTTATTCCTCTATTTTAAACGTGAAACGTGGCTAAAGCGTCATTTCCTTGGAAGATACGTGAACCGTTGTACGCTGCAGCAAGGTTGGAATGACATTAGAGCGTGACTTTTCTTTTCCGGTGATTTTTGAAGGTGTGCACGGCTATACGGTATGTGCTAATATTAGATAATGAGTACTGACATATTTCAGATCTACTGCTTTCTTTTATAGACTGCATTTTCAAGCGATTGTTTGTGTATGGTTATTTTAATCATGTCAAACTGTCACTTTGAGTAAAATTCTATTTTTTTTACGTCTGTGGTATTTTCCTACCATTCCTTCTGTCGGAGGACAACATGTCGTCAGTTGCGTCCAGTGAATTTGATTTGCTTTTAAAGCACATCGTCGACGAATGCATGAAAGCTTACATATAATGCAAGTTAAAAAAAAAAACGTTTAAAAAAGTTAAAAAGAAAGTTAAAAAAAAATTCTCTTTTTCTTTAGACTCTGTCTTCTTAGCTGCTGGATTGCTGTGTGCACATGTTTCTCTCAAGGTAAGTCCCGTGAAAATTTATAAGTGAGCGAGCGTACGACGTTTTAGCGTAATTGATTTTGCTGTAATTCTCAGGTTGGGGGCTTATGATAACCCGCAGCTGGTTTTCGGGTGAACTGGAGTTTCATCGTTAACTCGTATTGTACCACGCCTTACTATGCCGTGAGTGCGGAGGACGAGTGTTTTATAGGTCAGTTTACGTTAACTAGAAAGCGTGAATTGGTTTGGCCATGCAATAGTGACAATATGCACGACACAAACATCCACTACTCCATTGGCCTACAAAAGCTCGAGGTAATTCACGTACGCAATGCAGCTAAGGAGCAGTGGAAATATGAGAAAATGCGCATCACCATCTTTACCAGAACGCTGAAGAGAGCAGTTGACAATCTTCTAGAGTGAGCTCACAAAATGTTTAGTGCAATGGAGGAGTCCAATAAGGAAAATACATACAAATCTGTGCTTTTCGAGATATCAATGTCTTGCACTTGGGATACTTAAACCGCCGCTACTGTAGTTAATAAGCGGGGTCAACCTCTGGTTCACACTCGCACTTGCTATCTAACTTAATAGATCTGAACGTGTTCTTTTTCTTTTTTTGAAAGCTGTTTTCAACATTGTATTGTTGGCAAACTTGTTTTCAGTTTTTGGGTGGGTTCCGCTTCAAAATGACGGGCATGAGACTGGTGCAGTTTCCTACTCAGAGAAGAAGTTCTATAGTGATTTCGCTGTTTTCTCATGTGATGCTTACATTGGTTTACCAGCCATTGTAGTAAATGTGAAACTCAAACTCATATTGATGTAAAGCCAGTTCCACGAATCACTTGTGGTTGAGTCGTTATCAAAATTCTGATATCGCTTATATCAGATGGGTACTTTGAAGACATCATATAATGTTTTGCAAATTTCTATTTATTTCTGGTCGCAGATTACGGTTCAATAGTGTCGAAGAAAAAGGCTCAAAACAATTTAGGTTTTAAAACAGTTTCGGAAGAAAATAAAGAAATGTTTGGAAAAACGTCTTCAATAATGTACTCAATATATTTGGTATAAATAAAGGAAGGCCACTGCATCAAACCCGTTACACGAACATTACAGCTATATACCGTTTTGGGAACAACTACGTCAAGCGTTCAAGCCATAATTAGCCTTTTCTTGAAAAACGACAACGCTCTGTAGTTCTGTAGAAACATATTGGCATCTTAAACGTATATATTCAAATACAGTTAACTTCTAAAGCTCAAATTTTTTAGCAATATATATATATAATAAAAATGGTTATATGTATAACCATTTTTATTATTGTAAAATGCTACAGATATCAGTCACAAAACTTTTCTTTAAAATTTTTCTCCCTAACACATTCTAGAGTTCGAGAATGTGTACCTGGTAATTGTCTGCGCCATTAGTTAGCGATTTTAGGTTAACTGTAATTAGTGGTAGTTGACATTAGCAGTTTTCAGACATTAAATACTCGCAAAATGGTGACATTAATGTAGTACCGCAACGGTAAGCAACATAGTACAGAGTATTTTTCCTACGTTAGGGTACAATTTTCATGACACAGGGTTAATTTCCCAACTATTACAGCTCTACATTTGTGCGGCTTCACACGCACCATTTGACTCAGGCTGAACGTAAGTCGCGGTTAGAAATAGCTCTTATATTCGACGGTAGGTTGACGATTCAGAGCCGGCGAAGTTTTTTAGGAATCTGTTTACATTGAAGATTCGTGGGACCTTCAAAATGCTAACATCCATGCTGAGCCTCTTTTTCTCTGATCGAGTTGAAAGCCCAGGCATCGCCTGACTAATATACTTCGAAGCGTCCTTTCACATGTCGTGGTTATCACCAGCCGCCTAAGTTTGCTCATCGCTGTTCTTTACATCTGCGGCATCCGATGCTTCACTAGGCGGAATATGTACCGCAATCTCCAATGTTTGCGTGGGCTCCTCTACTATTTTTGCAGATAGGGTTGATGAGTCCGATGATGACGAGGTCGCTACTGCAATGGTCTTAATATTGGCATCCTTAGCCATTGAGCTGAATATGCCATCGTGTTTGTCAAGAAGTTCCTGTGGAGTGCCTACTTCGGTGACCTGGCCTTTATCCAGTACCACAACCCTGAAATGTGCAAAACATACCAGACAGTCATCGAATCTATTACAACAGAATTTAGTGGGTATAGGCTTTAAATGTAGATAATTAAAATAATTGTAAAAAACGAACTCAAAATGAAGGATACGATGTGAAGGTTCTTATCGCACACTTGGGCCTAACTAGGATGACCAAACTACGCCTGACAGCATTGTGTTATATTATGGAAAACCTGTTTCAACAACGTCCACAAAAGTTTTGAATTGAACATCGTTCAGCAGATGCCACACACAAACGTAGTACAGATACACCAGATTGTGCTATAGAACTTCATCGACACTGAGAAGATTCACGGCACTTACTTATCGTAATCCAAGATAGTATGAAGTCGATGCGCAATCGTAATAACAGTGGAGGCCGTAAAATCATCCCGAATTGTTTTTTGAATTAGTTTGTCTGTGTCCAGATCAACTGCTGCCGTAGCCTCGTCCAATATTATCAAATTAGATTGTCGCAAGAGGGCTCGCGCAAGACACACCAACTGGCGCTCGCCGACTGAAAGGTTAGCGCCACCTGTAAGTACACAAACGCTCGGTTATTGAGAAATTTTTCGTTGCGTTTTCATTCATTCGAGTGCGCAAATATTTTGCTTTTTTTTTTAAAAAAAAAACTGATGAGATGATCTTACTTTGTGCGTCGTAAAAGTTGTGTGTCATAGATACAGGATTTTCACCAAGGTTATGAATTTGTGTTTTAAGCTCAATACCCTTAACGTACCTTCTTCCACTTGATAGCTGATTGGTTTGTCTTTAGTTTTAAGATGTGCTTTCTCTAGCGCTGTCCAGATCTGCTCGTCGCTGTATTTATTTTCGGGATCTACATTATCCCTTAGCGGACCTTTGAAGAGAACAGGGTCTTGAGGTATCACAGCTACTCGGGAACGCAACGTATGCAGACCTAATCTAAAAGAGCGTGTCTAATGTGATTCCCTTCCACACTTCGGCGTCTTATACGACTTTAATATTCGTTCATATACAGACACAATCGACCTAACTGATTGACGTATTCTATGGATTTATATTTATTAAACTGACGCCCTTAATTATATTTATATATATATATATAATTTTTTTCAAGTAAATGCGACAGAAACTGCCTATCACTTCTGCTGATTCTGCGATGATATATAAATACACAGTAGTATCTTTATAATAAGTAAAAAGAAAAGAATATAATCAGGAAATAATATGACATACTTGGCGATGTCCACTCCATCAATGCAGATTCGGCCCTCAGTTGCCTCCATGATTCTTAGCAAGGCGAGTGTAAGTGAGCTTTTACCAGCACCTGTTCGACCTACAATGCCAATACGCTGTCCCGCATTTATCTCCAGATTGATGCCCCGTAGCACGGGGGCTAAATTCTCGCGGTATCGGGTTGAGTAGTTTTCGAAACGAACTTCTCCTCGGGACGGCCATGATGGATCCACCTAGGAAATAACAAAAAACATTTTCTATTTGGTTTTCCTTTGAAAGTAACCGATGCTGTGGCTCGTATGGGTAAATTTCAAACAGTGTAGGCTACAATGCCAGATACGCAGCTATCTTTATACATGACACACGGGAATTGTTTATCGAATAAGATATGACCAGAACATCTATTTTTTCTAAAGATAGCATCTTTTTGAGCTATCCAGTTACTATTAAATAGGTTATTTCTAGATCATATGTCAAGAAAATTATATTATAATACTACAACAATGAAACCTGTATTACCTGTTCCTGTTTTACAACCCAGTCGGCTTCAGGTTTTGTTTTGCCGTATTCCAGGACACGTTCGGCGGATACCAATGAGTTTTCAACTTGAGCGCCTAGTCTTGTTACCCACGTGAGAGCCATACTAGCCTCGAGAGCGTAGCTTAGAATTAATGCACCGAGTTCAGCTTTCACCGAAAAAAATACTAAGATGCAACACACAGCTGTGTCCATTAACTGTCCAATTATGTTCAGCCGAATAGCTAACCATCTGAAACGTCACCAATAATAAAAAGTAACCTTTATCAATAAATCGTGCCGCTCTGCTTCGAATAACTCATCAGATCTTATTTCAGCGAATTCACAAACAATAAGTTTAGAGCACGTACGCATATAATATAATAGGTAGCTGTTAGACATTGGTCTGAGAATATACATATATATATATATATATATATATATTACCTGAAGCATTCAAGCATAAGAGTTTACGTGAACAAAGAAAAGTTCGTTACAAGAGAAATCTGGGTTTTCCTACCTGTAGCCGTTATACTCGTGAAACATACAATTTTGATTGTTGTCGAGCAACTGCATGTTTCGCGCCGTGAAACTACCCTCCATCGAATATGCTCGAATACTAACAGTGCCGGCTATGCTTTCGCTGAACGAGTTCAGAACGGGCGATTTAGTAATGGCGTTTAGGCGTTTCACTTGACGGGAAGATGCCATGTAGAATTGCTGTAAGCACGAGTGAATAGTGCTTAATAAAATCAATTACATTCGCTAATAAAATCGGAATTTGATTCCTCTGTATGCTTAGTAGGCCATCTCCAAAGCTTTATGTAGTTCTGTTTTGAATATTTGTCACTTTTATTTCTGCTACTTTATCTCACTAATTTTTTTGATAAAATACAAATGGTAGTAACGGCTAACTCCGTTTATAATTCTTACAAATAATACAGAGCCTAAAGGGGGTAGCAGCTATGGTGGAAAGGGCTTTAATACCTTCCATTCCAAGCTAGCTAAGCATTTGACTTACCTGAATCATTAGGAAAAGTACGAGTAGCGGTGCTAGAATACAGAGAAAAATTGGTATTTGAATGCAAACCATTGTCAGCAGAATTGTCAGACCTACAGTCGTCTCTAAGTATCCATCCGCCGTTGAGTACAGATTTAGGTCAAGCTCGTCAACGTCTCTGCTAAATCTAAATGATGATGCCAGACACAAAATAATAGTAAGAATTAGTTTGGGTTATACGCGGGTACGGAGTATAGTGATGAACTAATAACCAGAAAAATTACAATTGGTTGTTTATTTTCGTGAAATTGCATATTAAGATGCACTGATCAATAAAATATGTTGTCACGTTTAGGAATGATTTCATCACAATATTATTATTACCTGTTGAGAATTCTGCCGGTGGGCGTTGAGTCAAAGAAGTTCATCGGAGCCCTTAGTATGGAGAGAAGCATCTTATTGTGTAGTGCGCTTGATGTCCAGATGCATCCAAGTGAAAGAGCTGTTAATCCTACAAGAATCGAGATGGCTTGTACGCCTCCATATGCGAGGTATACTTCTATATGTTGCCACATGTCTTCATTGCTTGTACGATTTTTATGCATCTCGGCCGCCCAAAGCGTGATGTACCGAAGTGACAACGCGTCAGCCGTCTGAAGCGCGATCACAACAGTTAACACAGCAAAACAGCAAATACTAATAGCTTACAAAGGAATCGATATTATGAAATACTGAAACAATCTGAAATCAAGTGCCGATCCACAAAAGCTACCTTTGATATGTGTACTTACTCTGAATGTGATGTAACCGGCAAGCACAAAGAAGATACCAAAAATGCCGAATTTCCAAAGGAACTCGACGTAGACGGCCCACCGGACTTTGCCTACTTGTACCTCTTCCTCGTCTGTGATACGGCCTATATCCGGCAAACAAAAGAAATGGAAAAACAGTTTCTTTATTATCACTTTGCGGTAAATACTGCTCATTTATTGTGTTTAATTATATTTTACAATAAATATTAAATAGTTTCATTAAAATATTTTCGGTACAAAGGTCCGCAATTCGGGTTTCCCAGGCGTCTTGCTTTGTGGATGGCAATATTGTATCACATAGGTAAACATAACACGATTCAACTATTTCCAGTTCAAACTGATTCCCATGTGGCGTGATAGTAATAGTGATATATTACATAAAAACAAAACGTGTCAAAACTTTATAGATTTTATTCAGAAAGCTAAATCTGCAATGCGAGTTACTTGGTATGTCAGCTCTATTTATTTTAAAATCAACACTCGTTTCGTCACCTGACGGTACGTCCGAGAGTTGCCGGCTGCCACTTCCTGTCGAATTGATACTCGAGACTGAGGTCGTTCGCTTGCGCCTATGAGTAATTCAGAACAAATTGATGTTAAATTTCATTATATTACCTACGGTTTATTAGTACACCTTTGTTATACTATATTGCTTATTGACTCTTCGCCTTCTGTCGCAGTTCTAATTCCTTGATCACCCTAAGATCAATGTAAAATGATTTGGCACAATTTCAATTACTTATGTAAAACAATGTATTCCGTTTAATTAAAAGCCCAGGTGAACGTTTTGCTATGGTCCTTATTTATTTTGTTTGTAGAAGACCAACTGCAAAATAGGTTCGGTACCGATTTCTACCTTGATCCTAAGATCTAATATTTGCTCGAACTTGTCGAGCCACCTACAAAATGTCAATCAAGTGTCTCTCTTTTCTTATTTTAGGCGGAATCTTGTTTGTACTTTACTTCAGTACATTACTTTGTAAATTCTGCAACAGTTACTTACACAAGCAATGGTTTATCGTCTTTGATATTCAAGGATAACCGCTCGGCCATTTCTAGTTTGATATTTCCATCATACGTAGAATATGATGGTGGGAGAGTATCGTCAATATCGGGTTTAGCGTGTGTCTCAATTAGTTCCTTAAGATGGACGTTACCCTTCATAATTTCTGGGTACGTCCCTTGATGGGTAACACGGCCCTCCTCTAGGACAATAATCCTATCAACTTTCGGCAAGAAGGCTATTGAATGCGTGACGAGAAGACGTGTCTTGTTTCGTAGCAGCCCCGTTGGGCCGATGATGTCGTTAAACAGTGATTGTGCGACATGTGCATCGACAGCACTTAATGGATCATCCAGAAGGTAAATGTCGGCCTATAAAAGTAACAAGCGAAAACGGAATCAATATCAACCAAGCTCAACAACTGAGGTGCGTACTAGTAGACTTAATGTGACAAATATTCTAGTAGTATTTACGCGTCAACGAGTAGTTGAGACGGCTTTGCCTGCGATAACAGGCAAATTGATTAATGTTGGGTATTGCAGCGATATGTCTGAAGAATATGCTTTAAAAGTATTTATTTAAGCCAGACGCCAAGAGCCTAAGAACGTTATTAGCTTTTTTTTAAGCTGAATAGATAGCCTAGATTCGTTTTTAAGATTCAATCCAACTCTTTGTTGTTATCTTATCTTCCAAAAATCGTTAGAAGTATTTTTGTTAAATAGCCAAGATAACTCGACTCAAGAGTACGCAATGGCCCTGACTTACATCATGGTAGACAGCTCTAGCAAGCGAGACTCGCTGCTTCTGGCCTCCCGAGAGATTTATTCCTTTCTCTCCGATTTCCGTTCCATCGCCAGCAGGCAATGTTTTTAGATCGGGTATAAGACAGCATTTTCGTACAATATCCTGATAAGCGGAGCCTCGATATGGCTGATCAAATAGTATGTTTTTTCGGATCGTGTTATTAAGAATCCATGCCTGCTGAGGTACATAGGCAATCTGGGACTGGCAATCGGGAAAAGAGCAAGAGAAGCGAATATCACAAAGACCACATAAGTTTAATCAAACGAGCTTTATGAGTGTAAATATAATTATGACAGATACAAATGCACATCGTTATATAATAAAGGAGGATATGTAGTTATCGAACTATTTCATCAGCTTTGTGGTTGCTTCATTGGGGACACATTATGTGGGCCACTTGTGAGCCAATTTACCGTTCGCTTTTTGTGTATGGATCCTGATATTAAGTTCATTTCCCCAATAATGGCCTGGATCAATGACGATTTTCCTGCGGCTACCGAACCCACAACGGCGACGAGTTCGCCTTTCTTAATAGAAAGACTGACATCACTTAGAATCGAATCATCCTCATCTGTCCATGCGAACGTCGCGTTTTTCAATGCGATTTCTTCGTTTTCGTCTAAGCCGTCCTCTTGGATAACACATGGGTCTACCTGTTACACATTTCAGGGTAATTTGCCTCAATTTACGTTCATAGTATTCATTTATGTTAATCAGTTTCACCACATTTTCTGGTCGTGAGAGTACCTTGAAGGGGATAAAAAACCTAAATTAAACTTTTTTTTTTATTAGAAAGCTGTAGAACTAGCTTGCTTTCCACAATTCTATGTAATTTTTAACATATAATCGAGTTACTTTGTATGTAGTGTACTATATATGTATATAGAACAGGGCAAAGGACTCTAGACAGTCACATAACGGTTTGAGGATTTTCATGTTACATCTACCAAAGCAGAAAGTTAAGTCTAGTAATATGTGGAACTAAATTTAAGTAAAAAAATCTCCAGCCTATCAACTGACTACGTTATCAAGTGGCAGTTTTTAATGAAAATGTGCGCAACTAAGTTAACATACCTCATCTGCCTCGAGGAATTTTCGGATTCTTTTTAATGAGACGACCGCCTTAACCGTCGACGACACAGCGTATGGAAAGGCGGTCAGATCGAAGCGCATGTTACTGAAGTACGAGAGAGACACGAGAACCTGAAATTGTCGAAAACTAGGTATTAGAATAAAATGTAATTTATGTACAATATGAACTCTACTTTAATAATTTCATTGTCTTCTTGCACATGGCCCTACTTTAGTTAGCACTCGTAAGTCTGATGCTAATTATAAAAACTACTTTAGTCTTTATAAATTATTTAAGCAATTAATACAACTATAAGCAAATATTTGCACATTTAAGAATTTCTCGTCAAGAAAATACTTCGTGCAACTAAATAAAAGGTCAACTTCCGTCTTTCAGACGCTATCTAGTGCACACAAAGGTACACACAGACTTTAATTCAATAAATAATCAAACCATCTTCGGTGACGGAAAGGTGGACGTGTTGAGGAAAATATAGGCGCCCAGAGCAGCAGCGGAGATCTGAAACATATTGTGTTTATTCGGGTTAGAATACATGACAAATACCGACAAAAGTTTTTTAAGCAAAAATATGCCCGTTATACCATCTTTCACACCAATGTGTAAAAGTCCCAAATTTTGTAATCAACGAGCACCAGCGTTAAGAAGAAAAGTTGTGCTGCTTTTTTTAAAAGTATAGTTTATAAACGTGATTTTTAGGATTTGTACGAGATATTTTCTTTTACCAGGATGAATAACCTATTTATGTGCATCATAAGAAATAGAAGCGAGACTACTCACGATAAAAGGAAAACAGTTCCATACGAATCCAAACGCGTTGCAGGCTCCTAAATAGATGTACATGAGCCGTGATTCCTCCGTACGAATATTTTTCACTCGGTCCATAAATGAATTCTCCCACGCATACAATTTAATAACCTAAGAATAAGGTAGTCAAGTCATAACCGTCACCAGAATACAAAAGAAGCCTTAGAAGATAGGTTTACTTTGGGTTAAGCCTGTTTAGCTAAGGGATGGTCGATAAACATTTAATTATAATTGGGAATTTTTTTTAGGGTTTAGGCTTATATGTCGCCTAATCTATCTTAAGGTTCATGTTTTTTCCTCTACTGGATGCTGCGCAACTTTTATCAACAACATTATGCCCATATAAATTACCTTGATATTGTTGAACAGTTCAGTGAGTAGTTCGATGCGTTCATCCTTTTTCTTCATGTGCTTATCCTGGAGGGCAGACTCAATTTTAGCCATGAGAGCGGAAAAAGGGGCAAATAAAACGATTGCCACGGCTGCCGCCAACGAATAGATCCCAAGATACTGATATATCATGACAAAGGTAAGAAGCATCTGTAACACGGGGATTATGTCGGTACACAGATTAGAAAATTGCAAAACGTCATTTAAAAAAATCATGAATGTATAATAAGGATATAATGTATTCTATATGTCTGCCTATATATGTATAACGAAAACATGTATTATTTTTTATAAAAACTGCAAATCACTCATATATGTAAGCTTGTTGTAAATAATAAGCTTTAATAACTTAAACTTAGTGCATACATTTATGGGTGATCCCCAAAGACACACGGACATGGTCGTACTCCACATGACATTTTCGAGGTCAACAGAAACTAAATTGATGATATCACCCGTCGAAAATTCCTTACTAGACTTCGATGAAAGACGTAATGCCTGCAACCGAAACAAAAAAAAATTGTAGGGCGATCAGACCAATGCCTATTTGAACATAAGAATAATTACTAATTAATACATTCATAGTTCAATTAATGATAACGTAAATCTCATCTTTGATTTCACAAAAAGATTTCTACCATGCATTGTAATTTGTAATTGTTCTATAACAAGTGCAGCATGGAGCCTAACTCAAGTTCAGCGGTAATTTCTACTAATATCTTCTACAAATATCTACTAATGTTTTCCTATATTCGTATGACGAAAATAGCAGGCAAGATTTTTTAAGCTGCAACTTAGTTTCAACCTATCCGAAGCCCTTTAAATTGTCTTGATCTCTAAACCTGACTTGATATTCAAGCAGTAAGGTCTCGTTGTTACATGAATATTGCATTGGGTGACTCTTGTAGCATTCACGTGTATATGTTATTTACTTATATTTGTGAGGGGAGCATATATGTACTGTGTTATGTCCTTTGTTTTTTTAAGCAAGAATTATAATTTCCCAATCGCACATAGTGAACATGTCCTAGATATCCTATCTACTTACCTTTTGATAAATCACAGATGAAAATCCTGAACGACACTTGATGCCTATATTAAATAGAGTCCCGTAAATATGCGCCTGCAGAAATGACGATGTTTGCTGCGCAAGGAAGAGAACGCCGGCAACCCCATAACCGTAATATTGAGGCTGTTCTTCGTTCTCCAGGAAGTCCAACAAACGGCTGCTCGACAGTGGTATGAATGAGGTAATAGGAATTTATCTGAGACTGAAGCTTGGCGGACAACGCTGATATGATTAAAAACAAGGGCTCTGACCCCTAATGCTTTTGTCATCTAGCCTAATACATTATTTGCAATCCAGGCAAAAGCCACTTGAAATCATTAATTGCAAACAGATTCCTGGTAATCAAGCGGTTAAGGTCCTTGCATGCATGTGACTCCATTAGGGATTGGACATTCAAAGAGTAATAAACTCAGGCTTAACGGCGTCGTAGTTGATTCTACAGTACGGGTCACTCTTTTATTGCCTTTGTTCATATATGACGTGTAGAGCTGTAGCTTTTTTTTCATATAATAGTTAAAATATAACATACCCGATGAGGTATGGTGGTATAAGATCTATAAACATCTGGAGGATCTTGCAGAAAAAGGCAAATAAGAAGTGTGGCCAAAATGTTCTGAAGATTAGCCACACCATATTAATTTTTGTCGGCTTTGCGTCAGGCCGGATGAGCACCTCAATATCAGCACCATCGGCGGGGTCGTCATGTACCGTGTCATTGCTTGCATCGGAATAAAAAAAAACACACGAATGCGAACACTGTTTATTTATGTAACATTTTATTCATATTCAACGTTCTTTATATTGGTGCTATATAGTTTTATCGAGAGCGAATCTGCTCTTGTGAAAGCGTGCTAACAACTTAGGTTTCCGGAAAACTGTGAAAAGGTTCCTTGTCAGAAGCGTTGAAGCGAAACCATGATCTTTGACACTTATAGATTCGTTTTTTGGATAAGGTCTTTCTGTGCATCTAAAATGTACCCACAATAAATCGCATAAATCTTTGTCTCTGAAGTATATCAATACATTTGTAATGCAGTATGACGTAATAAAATATATTTTTCTATTTACTTACCCATCTCTATGTCGAAAACGATTATACTTTTTGCTCCATAGACGAAGCAGTTTATTGGAGGCGTCTTCGGCAGTGAATAACGTGTGAAGAGGGTTGAGATCCCTGGCTTGAATGGTACCCCACGACCCTTTCAAGATTATCCTTTATAATGCAGTTGATTATACCAAGATCCGATCACAGTAGAAATTATACACATAAGACTGTTAAATTGAATTCTTAGCGGTAACACTCATCAGGACATTAGAATTGCAGTTATTATTTGGTATACATTTGTGTATACTCATAGCTGCAAGTGCGGCTGTAGTTCGACTGGTTAATCGAAAATAAATAATCATATACACACACACACATATATATATAAGAACATCTTTAAAAAAGTCGCTCATCTAAGACAAGATCCAAATGTATAATCTATGCAGCCGTTACCTCAATGTCGCCTTACGCATATAGACGTTTTGTGTCTTTTTTGTATTTTGTGTCAATAAAAGGAAATTTCATAACTGCAACACTTCAAGGAAGCAAGACAAAAGTGAAAATAATAACATGAAGCTACCTATTACAGGATTTTATATTGTGTTAATAGGTCTCATTTATCTTACCCTGTTAGAAAGCCAAATGTCACTCTGTCCCATATATTAGGCTTGCGATTTGTGTAACGACAATTTTTCAGATCTTCCACCTCCTCTGCACCCTGTAAAAGGACAGAGCGCCCAATCGCTCCAGAAGTAACCGACATTCTTTATATTGACTCAGACAACCCGGTAGGATTCTGCAAAAAAAAATAAAAATAATAGCATATTTTGCACTATTTAATTAATTCTCTCCATAGAAGCCTTTACAGGAGTCTTTAACTAGCGATAAGTTCAGCGATTTCTGAATATGGTTATACTCTTCTTAACAAAAGGATTGCGAAATTAGGCGATTCACAGTAATTTAATTGATCGATAATCCTTTACAATTGTTCTATGTCACTACGTCGAGTAACAAGGATAATAGCCATTCAACATAACGTCTTCTTTCGCCGTCCACTCTGCTTCCAACCCTTCTTCCAACGTTACATAGTTTTTCCATATTTTTTCTACTCACTTCAGTGTGTCTATAGAATCGCCCTACATACTGCTTGGGTTCCAAACGAAACTAACGGAAAGGCTCTCTTTGGAAATTTAGGCTCTATTCACTTGATCTAATTTAATTAAAACCATTTCATGTGTCTCACTAGCGAATATATTAGGTGAAATCGGGCACATTCCATAAAAGAGAAAAATCGACTTCAATGTGTTAATCCATCAAGTATTAAAAGTATAATAAGGGTCGCAAAACGTGTGTAAGTAAAAGCATGTATATATATATTTTCAAAAAATGTACTTCACAGTCTGTGGAGATGCCCAGACCGGCGCCAAAGAGGAGCGTTATGTGTTTGGTGGCATTAGAAAGGAATCGTACATTATGAAAGGTTCTACAGTGATTGGATTATGGTGTTAAACGTGGAATAAAATCATTGATCAGAATGGGAAAAATATAAAAAATATTAGTTAAATTTTGGCTTCGAAACGGTCAATACCTTTCAAAAACCCAATATATAGCATTGAATGGCACCAGCTATTTGATTTTGCCTTCTTGCATCGTTGACATAAGTTAAATATTTTAAGAAATTTAAAAAAATAAATAAAAAAATTGACTTGAATTCTATAAATAAAATATACTGCATGTAAGACGTTCAGCTGTTTCTAAAAAAAAAAAGAGCTAGCTCCCGAATGTCCAGAGCACCCAGATAGGTATAAAAGCAATAGTAATTTTTAATTCGCTTGCTGTCATGACTTGTATTTATGCTTAGCTTTTATTATTATGCGGTATAATTCTATGATAACACAGTGGGTAACTGTGTTTGCCTATCAAATTTAGGAAAACGTGGTAGTCTATCTTCAAATTCGAATGTAGATGTATTTCAATTCATCATGATAGCCGGCCCGCCTGAACCAATGCCTAATGGATTAAGTAGCATTACACAAAACGCAAAAAACAATGGTTACACGGAACATATTTTGATTGTGGTGTTATATTGGGTGGGTGAAACTATCTTATTTCATTATTTTGGATCGCTATTGAAAACACCGCTCTAGACTCATCCTTTGCCATAACGCCTTGCCGATAATCTCTCTAGAATTTCTAAGTGGTAAGCTTTAACAACGACACTCGGCAAAACTAATGCCAAACAATCAGTGTAAAAAACTACTGTAAGAACAAACACATTAATGAGAAACTATCTTTACCTGCCCTTACCTCAGCCCTTACCTTTCTTGGAAAGAGCAGCAACAATCACAATGGTTAAGAACGAAGTCTTGTCAACATAGAATTCTTCTTCTATCTCGTTTGCCGAGTAAAGTGTAATGTTAATTCTCATCGGCAATTTTTAGTCGACAATGTCTGTGATGTTTTTGGGATCATCTTATTTCTAGTAAAAACAAAGATTGGACAGAAGTTCCGTGCATAAATGATAATGGCATTCATTACGTTACTCAGACCAATTGTCTTGCCGGTTCTAACAGTACCAGGAGCTCTCTGTTTCTTTCTAAACTTACCACTTAATAATCCACTGTTTCCTTGTCAGGGATGCACGTGTGGTCGAACCTCAGAGGCAACGGCTCAAAATTTCCAAGATCTTTGACTATGGTTCCGCAGTATATTGCCTCATTAACGACGCACCGATCTTATTAGACAGACATGTTTTGCTCATTCGTCCTTCACTTTCCATACGATAACATTGCTGAAGAGCAGTTAGCGGCTGGATATGATCAATAAAACTGCGAAAACTCACAACTTGTTGCATGAAACAGTGCTCGCCGATGCTACGAATAACCGTGCAGTTATCTTCGAAGACGACGCTCTAACTGGTACATTCAGTCAACCGATCGCTCCACATGCCGCCTTTTGTATTTGTGGACGAGATCATCCTCTCACACAGAAGCGACTCTTTCAGCAACACTTCCCCATGAGAAATCATTGCCCATGCGTTTACCGGCCGCACACGGTACACGTGAATGTTATGAATAGCGCAAGTGATGAAAATGTGAACTTGCGGCGAACGACATGAGGAAAAGGGAGAGGTACGCGGTGCTTCGAGTTATAAACAAACAGCAGCAGGCTTGAATAGAGGGCGCTGTTGAGTTTCGGTGCTAGGAGATTGCGAGAGAGAAGAACCCGGTTCACGAAGCTGTGTACAAACAAACAGGATAGGTTGCCCTCTCCCTTGATTTATCCGTTTATTAGAGAAGGAGAAAGGCTGGGGTTTAATCCATCGAAGTGAATATGTACGCGGCGCGAAATGGCGAGCAAATTCCTTGTTTTCAACGAAGAAGAGGATGCACTAGCCAAAATTATACTTTTGTTGACACGCGCAGTATCTCCGGTATGGCTCTGCGTTTACGACATTTAGTAAAAGTATTTGCTACGAATATTTGAAGTTTTCATTCACTTGCACATTCACTTGAAACCTGAAGTATTTAGGGATTGGTGGCTTATACACTCGCTTGGGGGTTATAACAAAAAGTTATACGTACGATAATCACGTACGGAAAAAGTCGTATTGGAGGATCAGAGACAAAGGCAACATGTACGTTACGTGGGTGAAGGGACATGTGGTGAGGATAAAAATATGTTAGATTGAAATTCGAGGTCAGAGATAGACTTTTAAGAAATGAGAGCGTTTAGCAAAATTTAACTATTAGCTGTGAAGGGGCTCGGGGAAACAGATAGTGCAATACAACAATGTATTTTAATACGAATCATTGTACATTGCAATGGTCTAAAAATCCGTAATTAATAGAAGTGTTTAACCCGCTACTTAGTCTCAGGCGCTACTCCCTGTAGACTGAATTTTCTTAAATTTCAGCCGTGCGGTATCACCACCGAGGCCATCCGGGATGAAACCCACCCCACAACTGGCCTATTTCAGTTCCCTGGGAGAACCTGCAAAGAGCAGGCTCACATTGCAAGTGTCAGCCCCTAATGTGAAGTAATCTATGCCACGTTTCTTTTCATCGATTGTTGGCTATCCGATCTAGTGCGATAGTAAGCTATTGACCTACGATGCCTGCGTACCTTGTAGACGAAGAGTTGTGTAAGGCGTGTTCTTTTTGCTATGGTTACGGCCGCCATTACCCGCGTCCTGTTGCTATAGTCACAGCCAAAGTCGTTTCATGCGATTGAGCGGTACTCTGCATGCGGTCACGGTCGCCGCTACTACCATGCCAAAAAGGATAAGAAATCGATGAACTGTTTATACAAAAAATTTCTTTGGCCTTTAGCGCAAATCATACCAAAGCGAGCACTAATGTACCGATATTAGTCGACCGTGAAAGCTATTAATGATATATCAACTCTTTATGTCCAGGTTTTTCGTTTAACCTCATTATCGCCTTGACGGACGTTGTACTGTCCCTGAGAGAGCGCCAATATGGTGCTGTATAAACGGGGAGCGGTGGCTAAGTTAAATTAGCGAATGGAATTGTGAGATACTCATGCGTTCATTGACGACAATGAAGAGCAACTCAATTTTATATACGTAGTGCTAAACATAGAAATCGTTCCCTTTGTAAACGTATGTGAAAATTTACTTTTAAAATATGTTTATATGTGTTTAAGGTTTCCTTTTAGCGTTGGAGCGCGGAACATCAACCTTCCTCGAAGTTCTTATTAGGTAAGACAAGGTGTCTGCTATGACAAGTTATTCGCAAATAAAGCATGAAAAGTTTTCGATGAACTTTTTTTATTCAACGTTGCCTCAAGTGGCAGGTAGCTATCTGAGATCGCGAAGCGCTTAGAATATGGACGAAAGAGTACACCAGACTGACGTGATTTTATTATAACGTAACACAACATAGAAAAAGAAATGCGAGAGTTTGCGGGAAGCTGCACAACAAAGCATAATCCGTAGGCGGTGGGTGAAGCACGTTGAGACTATTTTGTCTGCCTAAGTTGCCCCAACGAAACTTATTAAAATGATGAACATGTTAGGTGCCTTTTAAATGGGAAAATAACAGCTGAATTTACCTCAACAAAAACAGAATCAATCACTACAAATATGCTCTAATATTTTTATAAGCGTCGTGTGACCTCACGAACCAAATCTTGCAGCAATTGAGGTTTTTAAATAGTAGTACCCTGATCATACTGAATGGTGTCCTGTCGTTTTACAACCATTCTCATCAATAATGACCTCATTGTTCTGTTTTCTACGTCTGCTGTTGCGTTCAGCAACTGTTGCAAGTCTATCATTGTGAGTTCTCCGTTGCTTTAATTGAGCGCCTAAGGAACTGCCTTCCCCTTTTCCGTAAATCTTCATCTTTCGGTTGCATCGGATATACCATAAAGTTTACGGGGTGACTGTCTGGGTGATACGCGTAGCTTTTCTTCTTTGCATTTTTTTGCTACATGTCCGATTTTTTTAATAGCACTTGGGCAACGAAATGTATTTTTTAAAGGCATTTAATACTGCCTAATCTTTTTGCATGTAAGTAGTCGCATGTTCTAAAGTAGACTGTCACTAGATCATCGTCCAGGTAGTCCTTGCTTACTCCTGGGGTCTCCATCATTAGCTCTAACGTCTGCAGGCGTGAAATTGGCTGGTCGACAGTTCTATGATGGTCTCGCCCCTTTCCGAGTCTCGGGTAATCATCAAAGCTCGGATCGTTCTCGTCGGAAGAGAGCCCTTTTGGGTACGCTTTGTCCGTTTAAAGAATTTCTCTGGCCACTCTTTGGAAGGCAAGTGTCGAAAATAACCAGTGTTTTGAAAATTGATAACGCCATCTTCGATATCAACCTATCTGGCTTCGACTAAGTTCTCTTGCTTTAGATCTCTGTCATATCTGTAGCATAATATTTTTCCCTTATATCATCCGTGGTTTTGTCCCTTCTTTCTATAATGATCTGACAAAAAACATTAGACGGAGCCTAAGCACCTCTCTCCCCCCACAACCTCAAGTTTTTGGAGGTAAGACTGTCTAGCTCATTGCGGACTCGAAAGATTTTTTTTTATAGGTTTCTGTTTCTCTCTTGTGTAAACTGTTGGAGGTGTTCCTCTTTCTGCCTCGTCTCAAAGTCACCAGAACTCTCCCCTGTTAATTTTTGAGTTCCTTCGTTTAAACAACAAAGCCAGCTGAGGAGACATCCGTCCCTTTATGCGCCACTGGGTGACCCATCCGTAACTTTTTTCCAGTTCTTCGCCGTGGGGCCCCTGTGTGGGAATGATCCCTATGCGTAGACTGTATGTATTTCAAATCCATGAATTCCTTTGACTGGATACCGGAAGTGGAAAATGCTCAACATTCTCACCCTTTCTAGAGGAGTTTCTCATTGCCCCTCAAGGCATATTACACCCGTCCCATGTCAATTTTCTGTTGATTTCGCGGTTTTCAGCTCGGTTTCTGTGTATTTTCTTTTGTTTCTCCGATACAATATTATTTGAGACACGTGGCATGTCCTATGCGGCGGTGATATAGCGCGATAGATTAACGCTACTCGATGCTCGTGTGTTGGTGCGGAGATAGCGTTCGGATCGAATGCAGAGATCTCGGCTATGCCTAGTTTGGTCTCAAGTCGAGACGCATTTGGGAGTACCCTTTAACCTCTCTGTTGCCAGTTATAATACCTTTTCAAAGCGATTTATTTCTTACGTGCTTTTACTTTGGTCTATACAGCCGCCTATGTAGTGACCAGTCGAGGATTTTACCATAGATATTTTACAAGCCGCATTCTAAAAAACTTAAGAATTTTCAACGATTTCCAAGAGCACGAGCAAAACACATTTGCTTAATTTGGCACTTTTGATACACGTTGCGTACTCCAGTTTATACAGTATAAGAATAGTTGTGCTAATGCATGTCTCATACAAAAGAATATACCATGATTAATAGCTTCCATGTGTATTTTCCTGATACCTATAACCTTTTACTGAGAGCACACATAGACGGATTTCACATTTGCTTCTGTCCTAGGCAACCTAGGTTTTACTCAAACTGTATTCTTTATATTTATACAACTACAAATGTACATCTATATATGTAAAAGTATATTTGTGAATACATACTCAGCGAATTAACTACAAAATAGAGAATAAACGTGCGAGGTGAAGCGACGCCTGTTCGAGGGCCTACCATGATGACTTTTTTCTGTGGCTTCTTAAGTAATTTTGCGTCAGTTAAGGGAAATTGAAATGTACCTCGAACATCCATTAATACCAACGCTGAAACAACCAACTGTAACATCTATAACACCACTAAATGTCTCCAGTGCCTTATAAATTGATACATTAAATTCCTTATTAAATAAAAAAAAAATAGAATAACAATCACCAAACATTACTAATCTATTTTACATTTTGCTTGAATAAGAATAGACTGTATTGATTTCCACTCGAATCCTAAATGTCAGTTACTTCCTTACCGTAGTTGATTTTGTTTGATCTAGATATTAATGATCCAAACAACAAAACCAGCTTTTAGAAATATGTCATAAATCGATATCCGTTCATAACTTGTAAGTGTTGGTGATATATATGCAGCGAACATTTTTTTTGAATGTGCAATATTTCCAGTTTTGAAGTTTTTGGGGAACCATTTGAGGATCATAACGTAACCATATGAATACAAGTGACGGTTATACGAATTCATATTACATACTATCAATTAACTACCTGTGCTACTAACAACTAACTGTGTACTTTTAAATAACTTCAGTCAACATATGGCATTGTCATTTAGTCTCCGCAGTTATTACGGCATAGATCAGAAACTAACATTTGTTAACTTTGCTTATAATGCTAATGCACTATTCTCTGTTTTGATATGACCTAGAATAGAAACTGAGGGTCAATTCTAATCTATGAGATCAATCATGACTTTCGACTTTTTTTTTTAAAACAGCTTCATCTGTACCCTAGTTTTCTATTGAATATATCTGCCACTTAGTTCATCAGCTATTACCTCTATTTGGATACAATAGTACTCGTTTTTTAATAAATTAATTTCCAGGATGGACTCAATTTTTTACGAGCCAAGCCAGAAAGTGTAGCTTGCTTTTCTAAACAGCTTCGAGTATATTCCTAATTCCGAGGCGAACCAGCTTGCACAAACAGGCATGTTATATATTATAGCACACTGCATATTGAATTTTAATTAGGGAGTCTCGAAGTTTTTTTGAAAATGTGCATGAAATCCTGCAAGTTTCTTACTTGCCAAAAATTCTTACTTAACTAATGGATCTTAAGACTGAAGTAAGCGATTACTTTACTGTTGGAACATTCGCGGTAGGATTCGCAAGTTATGTGAACTACCCAGTGTCGGCGCAAAGTCCGTCCGTTCATTGACCCAGGTTGTGCCAAGCTTGGCTTTTTTCAATTTATATCATATGTTAGACGGTATAAATTTCGAAAGCGTTATCAAAACTTCAGTTAAGAAGGACTACGGGCCAAAGCCGCGATCGCTATAGTCTTGGGACCAGCGCTATTCTAACTCAGATTTTTAGTGACCCGCCCTCAGGTGTTTGCGCGTTATTTTTTTTTGTGACTTTTAGTAACAAGTGGTAGTGGTGGCAGTGGTAATGCTGCTGCTTGTTTAACACACTTTAATTGCCGGTAATGGTCCGGCCCATGCTGATCATTGCATCTGTTGTGTTAAAGGCGATCTAGAAAGAGGAATGTTTGATGTTCACTTGCTCTCTAGACAGACGCACCCAAGTATAACAAAGCCAGAGGTTAGTCTTATCTGAATACTGCTGTTAGTACTACTCGTTAATCTTGTGTCGCCGAACCACAAAGTATATTTTTATTTTTTTGTTAACAAAACCTGTCGATTTATCTTGTTCTCTGGCTGTATAGTGACCTGGCAAGGAAATGCATTCAAGTCAGGGTTACTACGAGGACAACACTGTCGAAGCATGTTGGCCATGGATAAGATACAAATACTGAAGTATACAGATGGACACATAGTTGAGCAATAACTTTATTATTTCCGTATTTCTCACGGCGAATTTCTGTTCTCTCTACAGAATGCCGATCCCAGTATATGTTCCACGTGCTCGGCATCTCCTGCGCTACGGGTTGTTGTATAATCCCTACGAAAATAATAGGTGAGACAGCAAGAGGACTGGCTAGGGGGTTTCCTGTGTGCTAAAAGCATTGCCAATATCTAATAACGCTCACATTGGAAGAAAATGTAAATCAACATTATTTTTTTACATTCCGATGATACGATGTGTAATCGCTGCTAGCAGTGACGCTAGTAGATGCTAGCTAGGACATTTGTTTGCCTACCCAGATTTGGGACACGTGATGGCCTAAGGTCGAATTCGCTTCTTTCATTTCGATTCACGCTGGAAGCCAGCCGTCTAGTTGAACACCGAACGGCTTAGGCGCCGGGCGTAAAACTCAAAACATCTATAAGCTGTATGCCCCATTTAGGAATAGTGCTGCAAGGAAAGATTCAGTGCGTCTTTAAAAAGTATTTAAACGTTCGACACAGCATTGGAACTAAAATCTATATGAGCACGTAAAATGGTGAAAAGCAAGAAGGCTAAAAATATACAATTATATCTATAATTTTGAAATGGACTTGCTTACAATGTAAATAAGGCCGAATAAGAAGAGGTCAAATCAAGGAAAGAGTTTTTTTTTTATTGATATTTGAATATTATCAATCTGTTTGTCTTACTAGGGCACTTGTTCAGCACGAGCCCATAGTGCAGGTGGACTTCGAATTGTTTGGCGATGTTGAAGGTAGGTATTTGCCTTACGCAATTTTGCTGCAATAAAAAGCAGCAGCTTTAAATATCATGGACGGTCCATTCAGTCGTGCACATTTATTAGACCGAAGCCTTATCATTAGCTTGAGTATTATTAAGTACCCTCTGCGCAAACTATGAAATTGCATAGGTATCGAGTATGCATAGTATCAACCTACATCAGCCACGAAACTATTTTAGTTTTAAGATTTGCTTTCTCTAGCGCTGTCCAGATCTGCTCGTCACTGTATTTATTTTCGGGAGCTACGTTATCTCTAAGCGGACCTTTGAAGAGAACTGGGTCTTGAGGTATCACAGCTACTCGGAAACGCAACGTATGTAGACCTAATCTAAAAGAGCGTGTCTAATGTGATTACCTTCCACACTTCGGCGTCTTATACGACTTTAATGTTCGTTTATATACAGACATAATCGACCTAACTGACTGACGTATTCCATGGATGCATATTTATTAAATTGACGCCTCCTAATTATATTTATTTATATATATATATATGTATATATTAATTTTTTTCAAGTAAATGCGACAGAAACTGCCTATCACTTCTGCTGATTCTGCGATGATATACAAATACACAGTAGTACCTTTATAATAAGTAAAAAGAAAAGAATATAATCAGGAAATAATATGACATACTTGGCGATGTCAACTCCATCAATGCAGATTCGGCCCTCAGTTGCCCACATGATTCTTAGCAAGGCGAGTGTAAGTGAGCTTTTACCAGCACCTGTTCGACCTACAATGGCAATGCGCTGTCCCGCATTTATCTCCAGATTGATGCCCCGTGGCACGGGGGCTAGATACTCGCGGTCTCGGGTCGAGTAGTTTTCGAAACGAACTTCTCCTCGGGACGGCTATGATGGATCCACCTAGGAAATAGCGAAAAACATTTTCTATTTGGTTTCCCTTTGGAAGTGACCGATGCTGTGGCTCGTATGGGTAAATTTCAAACACTAGTGTAGGCTAATATGCCAGACATGCAGCTATCTTTATACATGATACACGGGAATTGTTTATCAAATAAAATAAGGCCAAAACACCTATTTTTTTTTTTAATATAGTATATATTTGAGCCATCCCCTTACTATTAAATAGGTTATTTTTAGATCATGTGGTCAAGAAAATTATATTATAATTCTACAACAATGAAACCTGTATTACCTGTTCCTGTTTTACAACCCAGTCGGTTTCAGATTTTGTTTTGCCGTATTCCAGGACACGTTTGGCAGATACCAACGAGTTTTCAACTTGAGCGCCCAGTCTTGTTACCCTGAGCCTACTAGCCTCGAGAGCGTAGCTTAGAATTAATGCACCGACTTCAGCTTTCACCGAAAAATAAACATAAGATGCAACACACAGCTGTGTCCATTAACTGTCTAATTATGTTCAGTCGGATAGCTAACCATCTGCAACGTCACCAATAGTAAAAGGTAACTTTTACCAATAGACCGTGCCGCTCTGCTTCGAATAGCTCATCAGATCTTATTTCGGCCAGTTCAAAAACAATAAGTTTAGAGCACGTACGCATATAATATAATAGTTCTACAATTATATTGTCGAATTCCTGTTAGACATGCATCTGAGATTATATATATATATATATATATATATATATATATATATATACCTGAAGCATTCAAGTATAAGAGTTTACGTAAACAAAGACGTACGTAAAGGTACAAGAGAAATCTGGATTTTTACCTGTAGGTATTATACTTGTAAAACACTGTTTTGACTGTTGTCGAGAACTGCATGTTTCGCGCTGTTAAACTACCTTCCATCGAATATGCTCGAATACTGAACGAGTTCAACACGGGCGATTTAGTAATGGCGTTTAAGCGTTTCACTTGACGGGAAAATGCCATGTAGAATTGCTGTAAGCACGAGTGAATAATGCTTAATAAAATCAATTACATTGGATAATAAAATCGGAATTTGATTCCTCTGTATGCTTAGTAGGCCATCTCCAAAGCTTTATGTAGTTCTGTTTTGAATATATGTCACTTTTATTTCTGCTACTTTATCTCACTAATTTTTTTGATAAAATACAAATGACAGTAACGGCTAACTCCATTTATAATTCTTACAAATAGTACAGAACCTAAAGGGAGGTAGCAGCTATGGCTGAGAAGGGTTTAATACCTTCCATTCCAAGCTAGCTAAACATTTAACTTACCTGAATCATTAGGAAAAGTACGAGTAATGGCGCTAGAATACAGAGAAAAATTGGTATTTTAACGCAAACCATTGTCAGCAGAACTGGCAGACCTACAGTCGTCTCTAGGTGTCCATCCGCTGTTGAGTACAGATTTAGGTCAAGTTTGTGAACGTCTTTGTTAAACCTGGATGATGATGCCAAGCACAAAATAATAGTAAGGATAAATTTGGGTTACACGCGGGTAGGGACTGTAGTGATGAACTAATAACCAGAAAAATTACAATTGGTCGTTTATTTTCGTGAAATTGCGTATTAAGAGACACTGATCAATAAAATATGTTGTCACGTTTAGGAACGATTTCATCACAATATTATTATTACCTGTTGAGAATTCTGGCGATGGGCGTTGAGTGAAAGAAGTTCATCGGAGTCCTTAGTATGGAGAGAAGCATCTTATTGTGTAGTGCGCTTGATGTCCAGATGCATCCAAGTGAAAGAGTTGTCAATCCTACAAGGATCGAGATGGCTTGTACGCCTCCATATGCGAAGTATACTTCTATATGTTTCCACATGTCTTCATTGCTTGTACGATTTTTATGCATCTCGGCCGCCCAAAGTGTAATGTACCGAAGTGACAACGCGTCAGCCGTTTGAAGCGCGATCACAACAGTTAACGCAGCAGAACAGCAAATACTAATAGTTTACAAAGGAACCGAATTTATGAGGTACTGAAATCGAGTACCGAAGCCACCTTTAATCTGTGTACTTACTCTGAATGTGATGTAACCGGCAAGAACAAAGAAGATGCCAAAAATGCCGAATTTCCAAAGGAAATCGACAGGATGGCCCACCGGACTTTGCCTACTTATATCTCCTCCTCATCTGTGATACAGCCTATATCGGGTAAACAAAAGAAGTAGGAGAACGATTTCTTTGTTATCACTTTGCGGTAAATACTATTGTTGTGTTTAATTACATTTTATAATAAATATTAAATAGTTTTATTAAATTATTTCCGGTACAAAGGTTCGCAATTCGGGCTTCCCAGGCGTCTCGCTTTGTGGATGGCAATGTTGTATCACATAGGTAAACATAACTCAATTCAACTATTTCCAATTCAAACTGATTCCCAGTAGTGATATCTTACATACAATAAATGTGTCAAAACTTTATAGATATTACTTAGAAATCTAAATCTGCGATGCGAGCTATTCGGTATGTCAACTCTATTTATTTCAAAATCAACACTCGTTTCGTCACCTGACGGTACGTCCGAGTGTTACCGGTTGTCACTTCCTGTCGAATTGATACTCGAGACTGAAATGGTTCACTTCCGCCTATGGGTAATTCAGAACAAATTGATGTTAAATTTCATTATATTACCTACAGTTTATTGGTACACCCTTGTTATACTATACTGCTTACTGACTCTTCCCCTTACGTCGCACTTATGATTCCTTGATCACCCTAAGATCAGTATAAAATGATTTGCCCCCCTTTCAATTACTTATGTAAAACAATGTATTCAGTTTAATTAAAAGCCCAGGTGAACGTTTTCTAGAAGACCAACTGCTAAATACGTTCGGTACCCATTTCTACCTTGATTCTAAGATCTTATATTTGCTCGAACTTGTCGAGCCACCTACAAAATGTCAGTCAAGTGTCTCTCTTTTCCTATTTTAAGCGGAATCTTATTTGTACGTTACTTCAGTACATTGCTATGTAAATTCTGCAACAATTACTTACACAAGCAATGCTTTATCGTCACCCTTCATAATTTTTGGGTACGTCCCTTAGTGGGTAACATGGCCCTCCTCTAGGACAATAATCCTATCAACTTTCGGCAAGACTGCTATCGTATGCGTGACGAGAAGACGTGTCTTGTTTCGTAGTAGCCCCTTCGGGCTGATGATGTCATTAAACAGTGACTGAGCGACATGTACATTGACAGCACTTAATGGATCATCCAGAAGGTAAATGTCGGCCTATAAAAGTAACAAGCAAGAACGAAGTCAATATAAACCAAGCTGAACAACTGAGGTGCGTACTAGTAGATTTTTAATAAGACAAATATTTTACTAGTATTTACGCGTCAACGAGTAGTTGAGATGGCTTTGCCTGCGATATAGGCGAATTGATTAATGTTTGGTATTGCAGCGATACGTATGAAGAATATGCTTTAAAAGTATTTACTTAAGCCAGACGCCAAGAGCCTAAGAACGTTATTAGCTTTTTTAAGCTGAATAGATAGCCAAGATTCGTTTTTTAAGATTCAATTCAACTCTTTGTTGTTATCTTGTCTTCCAAAAATCGTTAGAAGCATTTTTATTAAATCAGCCAAAATAACTCGACTCAAGAATACGCAATGGCCCTGACTCACATCATGGTAAACAGCTCTAGCAAACGAGACTCGCTGTTTCTGGCCTCCCGAGAGATTTATTCCTTTCTCTCCGATTTCCGTTCCATTGCCAGTAGGCAGTGTTTTTAGATCGGGCATAAGACAGCATTTTCGCACAGCATCCTGATAAGCGGAGCCTCGAAATGGCTGATCAAATAGTACGTTTTTTCGGACTGTGTTATATAGAATCCATGCCTGCTGAGGTACATAGGCAATCTGGGATTGGCAATCGGGAAAAGGTCAAGGAGAGCGAATATCATAAAGAGCACGTAAGTCAAATCAAAGGGTTACGAGCGTAAATATAATTATGACCAATACAAACTCACATCGTTATATAATAAACGAGGATACATAGTTATTATACTATTTCTGCAGCTTTGTAGATGTACTTGCCTAATTGTGGACACATTATGTGGGCCACTTGTGAGCCAGCTTACCATTCAGTTTTTGTGTATGGATTCTGATGTTAAATACATTTTTCCGATAATGGCCAGATCAATAACGACTTTCCCGCCTTACCGAACTCATAACCGCGATGAGTTCGCCCTTCTTAATAGAAAAATTGACATCGCTCAGAATCGAACCATACATTTTTATCGATGCGAACGTCGCGTTTTTCAATGTGATTTCTTTGTCTTCGTCTAGATCGTCCTTCTAGCTAACTTCATGGGTCTACCTGTAATTTCAAAGTAATTTCGCGAAGAAAGTTCTGACAGGCTTAATAACTGCAAAACCAGCTCCAGTATTTGTTACCTTGAATTACCGCAGCCACTTTGACACTAAGAATTATACAGTGGAACTCTAAAAGGGCTGCAACTCTGGCGCTTTTCTTTTCGGCAACCTTGGACAATAGAGACATTCTCATGCTAATAGAAACTTGGGTAATTCTTCTGTTCTATGCACTGAAGACCAGTGGACCAGGCCGCGCTAGTGGAGGCGCCTCCGTTTTCTACAATCATAAGGTAGGCGACCTCACGATGTGCCCCGTGGAGAATACCGTCATTGCTTTACACGGCAAGTCAGCAAGTTTCGTAACAGTTTATGTTTCCAGCTGACTGGCAATCAATGTACGTAGTGGCGAAGAAACTTGCCAATAGATTACAACCGCTGTTTTCTCATTCTGTCTTTTATATAGTCGTTGTTGGCGACTTCAACGCCCGCTTTGACCAGATGAACTGGAGATGCACTAAATCTTATCTCGATACCGACTTTTCTAAAACACGAAACTTATTCGTATTTGGTTGAAATTCTTTAGTCTTTTTCTTCTTCTTTAGTCTTCTGCCTTTTTCGTACACCCGGAAACATGGGACGTGGTTCAACTGCACTTACAGCCTTGACAAAAGGGCCCAGATTGCTTTCAGGCTTATGGCTGTAGTACAGTCCGGGCTTTTCCTTTTACCCTCCGTTTTTAAGACGACCTCTCGCGATAAACTTCCCACAAAATCAACAATATCTTCAAGGGTTAGAAAGCCGTTTGATAGTCGAAGCAAAAGGTCAGTCATACAATTAAATAACGCACGACGGCCGCTTGGCGGCTTCTCGGCTCCCATGAATCACTTTCAGTGAATGTTTATGTCACGGAATAAGATAACACGCTCTGTGTCGTTTTTTGTCGCAACATGATAATAATACAGCGCAATATCCTTCAACAGGACTTCACGAAGCGGGAACCAGTAAGGAATCCTATGCAACAAGAAAGCCATTGTTTCCGGCAGGTTCTGCAACAAGCATTCCAAATGCGCCGTCATTTCATACTTTACTGGACGGAGCTATTTATTAAGTTTTTCCGTACTAATGCACTTCTAGCCCAGTGGAAATATGCTGTCCCGTCAGTAATCGTTAAAAGAAAAGACGACCCACTCCCGCCGCCATCACAGCGGGAAATACCGAAAAGTCTTTTTTATAAGCTACTTGCCAGCTTGTTGACTAAGAGGCTGGGAAGCTAGAAAAAGCGTACACGCCACTCTAAGAGGAGCAACATAGGTTCCGAAGACAACGCTTCACAGGAATAGCATCCAGGATCCTGATGGTCGACGTCAAGAGAGCACTAGCCATGCCGCAAAATCCCCCTGGACGTGATATTCGTCGATTTTAAGGCAGCTCTTTATTAGGCCGAGGGACGACAAGGCTATATTGACGCTACCCCAAGTGTGTATTTCCATGAATGTGTTCAACCTTCATGTTTTTTTTTACAAAGAAGCAGAATAACTATTGACGACAAAGTGGCTGAAATTTCGTTCTTAACACAGACAATTGTTTTGTTTCTGGGAACAACGTAACTTTTCTCCTTCTCCATCTAGGTAAAGAACTTCCCTGATCATATAAAAAAACTGAGGAACTCAGTCCAGGTCATCCTGAGTGATATACGGATCAAGCATGTTCTAAACGCAGCAAGCTTTAGTGCAGCTCCAAGTATAAATCATAGATTTAGGACTGACCGTAAATCTGCCCAAGACGGAGGCGATAAAATTCAAAAAGGAAGGCAGGGCAGTGGCAACTGACATTCTGTATTTCGTCAGGTCGCCTTTTGCAAATATTAACCGGTTATCGTGCTTGGGGTTACTCTTTTCCTCGAATGGCAGAAGATTCATTGCACGCGTCTCCGGAAGTGCAGGATTGGTCTCATCGCTTGCCTCCGTAACGACTCCCAGCTTATTCGACCTTAAAATAGCTTCGATCGCAATGTCCATAATACACATCATTTAGGAAGATCTTACAGTGACGAACCTTGTATAATTAAGATGCCTCAGAACTTTCTTTTTTTTCCCTAGCCGATTCACCATTGGTGCCTGGGGCCCTACGTCTGCACTCTGTGTCCATTGAGCCTTTAGCAACGGAATCCTTCAAGATAAACCTTAGAAACTGAGAGCAAAAATTCAAGTAGGAGTATGGAGATTTCATTGCCGTGCATGGGTTTCACTGCAGGCTCTGCAAGAAGCCGGGTTTCCACGAGCCTAGTGACAAATATAGTCTCTTGATATCAGAAAAACTATGATAGATATGATGTCGCTCGTTACCGCTTAGTATGACTTTGAAGACACCTGACAAATCTTCTATAATTAGTTTCATGAACTCAACATGACTCGTAAAAGCTATATGACGCAATAATTTAAATAATTTTTAATGGTTTTATATACTCAGTCTGATAAAGGGTTTGTGTTGTTGACCTGTATGTATGAGGTTTTTGACTAGAAACAGCAAACGTCAGTAAATGAAAATTGATATACTCCATCTAACCTACACGGGGATCCGTTATAAAGTAACACCGATAAGTTGCGTCTGACGTAAACTTGCCTATGTATATTATTATTATACATAATAATATTATATATATTACTGTTATTATTGCCTATATATATAT